AGTCTCATTGTTGAGATACAGGTGGACACTAGGGGCAGGTGTTTGTGGGCATATTTTTTGCAAGTCAGCCTTGTCTGAGATTAAAAGATTTTTTAAAAGCATCCGAACAAGACAAAAAAAAAAAAACCAAAACAAAACAAACCACAAAAAGAACAAAAACTAGATGCAGACTTATCTACATGGCTCAGCTTCTTGTCTGAAGTCTCATACAGAGAAACCTATGCATACAATGACTAGTTAGAAGAATAAATTTTTTAGAAGTGGAAAAAAAAAAAGAGGCACAAGCAAAAGGCATAGAAAATAAATTCAGTAAAGTAACAGCAGAAAACTTCCCAAATCATGAGAAAGGATGGTCATCTAGGCACAGGGGTGTTTTAGGACTCCAAACAGATTAGACCAGGAAAGAACCTCCCTATGTCATACTATAGTTAAAACATTAGGCATATATTCAGAACAAGGAAAGAATACTGAAAGCAGCAAGAGAGAGAATCACCCTATCAACTATAAAGGCAAATCAATCAGAGTAACAGGAGACTGTCTGGATCAGGTCTCACACCTACTCAGTAAGTGGAGATCAGGAGGATGGCAGTTCAAGGTCAGATCAGGCAAAAAGTTAGTGAGACCTCATCTCAATAAAAAAGCCAGACATAATAGCACACACAAAACATAAAAGACCCTGCCTGAAAAGTAACTAAAACAAAAAAGGCTGGGAATGTGGCTCAAGTAACACAGTGCACATCTAACAAGTGTAAGACACTGAGTTGAAACAACAACACAAAAACAGGAGAGAAAAAAATAACAGCAGGTTTCTCAACAGAACCTTAAACTTAAAAGCAAGGAGGGCATGGAATGACATATTTAAAGCTCTGAAAGAAAATAACTGTGAACACAGATTATTGCACCTAGCAAAGCTACCCATTGTAATTGAAGGAAAAATAAAACCTTCCATTATAAGCAAAAACTAAAACAATTTATGATCACTGAACCATCACTGCAGAAGATACGCAAAAGAATTATATGTATACAAGAGGATGATAAATATAGCCAGGAAAATGGAGAAAGAATAAATGTCACTAAATGAGTATGTAAGCAAATGAGAAGTAAGGAAGAACAAATACTACAAAATCAGCAAAACAGCAGGAATTACATCATACCTTTAAATAATAACTGAATGTCAATGGTGTCAATTCTCCAATCAAAAAGACACAGACTGGTGTATTTAGTTAATAAAAAAATAAGATCCAATTATTTTTGCTTGAAAGAAATGCACCTCACTGGCAGGGACATACATAGGCTTAAAGTGAAAAGATGGAAAAAGATTTTCTAAGCAAGTAAGAGTCCAAAATCAAGCAGGGGTAGCTATAACAATATCTGATAAGGCAGACTTCAAACCACAATTAGAAGAGACAAAGAAGGTCACTTCAAATTGATAAAGGGAACAGTCCAGCAGAAGGATATAACAACTATAAACGTGTACTGAACATCGGCTCACCCAAGTTCATTAAGCAAATATTACTGAACATAAAAATTCATAGACCCCAACATAGGAACAGTGGGTTACTTTGGTATCACATTCTCACCAATATACAGTTGATCCAGACAAAATATCAATAAGGAAACTTCAGAATTAAATACTACAGACCAAATGGACTTAACAGACATCTACAGAATATTCTACCCAACAGCCACAGAATATAAGTTCTCAGCAGCTCACGAAACTTTCTCCAAAATGGATACCTTAGAAAATAAAGCAACTCTTAACAAATATTAAATAACTGAAATAACTTCCTACATTTTACCAGATTACAATGGAATAAAATGAGATACCAATAACAAGAGAAACTACAGAAAATACTGAAACACCTGGAGACTAACAACTCACTCTTGAATGCTAAGTGGGTCATCAAAGTAAAAAACGTGAAAACAGAAAAAATTTTAAATCTTTTTTCTGTGTGTGTTGTACTGGAGTTTGGATTTGGGGCCTCACGCTTGCTAGGCAGGTGCTCTACCACTTGAGCCACTCCCCCAGCCATAAAAGAATATTTTAAATCAATTGAAAATGCGTACACAACTTTTGGGACACAGCAAAGGCAGTGCTAAGAGGAAGTTTATAGCTACAAGGGCATACATATTAAAAAAAAAAATCAGAAGATATCAAATACATCACCTAACAATACACCTTAAGTTCTTATAAAAATAAGAACAAGCTAAACCCAAAAGCAGTAGATAGAAGAAATTATAAATATCAGGGCAGAAATTAATGAAATAGAAACTAAAAGAACAATACTACAAATCAGTAAAGAGGTGGTTCTTGAAAAGATAAACAAGACTGAGAAACCCTTAGCCAAACTAACCAAAAGAGAGAGAAGACCTAAATAATAAAATTAGAGATGGGAAAGAAAATAACACAACAAATACCATTAAATTCACAGGATTATTACAGAATATTTTGAAAACTTATACTTCAGTAAATTGGAAAATGCAGGAGAAATGGGTAAATTTCTAGATAGATGTGACTTACCAAAATTGAACCAAGAAGATATAAGCAATCAAAACATACCTTACAACAATGAAACTGAAGTAGTAATAAAGAGTCTCCCAACAAAGAAAAGCGCAGGATCAGATGACTTCCCTGCTGAATTCTACCAGACCCTTGGAGAAGGACTAACACCAGTGCTCCTCAAACTATTCCATAGAATAGAAGCGAAACACTACCAAACTCATTCTTTTAAGCCAGTATTCCCTGATACCAAAGTCAGATACAGACATGACAAAAAAAAAAAAAAGAAAATTACAGACCAATTTCCTTGATGAATATAGACTCCAAAATTCTTTTGTTTGTCTCAAAATTTGCAAACCAAAATTTGCAAACCAAATTCACCACTACATTTAAAAGATCATATACCATGATCAAACTGGTTTCATTTCAGGGCATAAGAATGGTTCAGCATTAAGTAAATCAAAAAAATTAATATAGCACATAAACAGAATAAAGTACAAAAATCACAATTATCTCGAGATGCAGATAAAGTCACTGACAAACTTCAACACTCCTTCATGATAAAAACTCTGAACAAACTAATAGGACTGTACCTCAAAATGGTAAAAACTATATGCAATAAAATTATAGTGAACATCTTACTAAATGAGGTAAAACTGAAACCATTTCCTCCAATGTCATGAACTAGACAAGGGTATCCACTTTCTGTACTCTTATTCAATATAGTGCTTGAATTTCTAGCCAGAACAATGTTAAGAGAAAGAAAAGGGATACAGATAGGAAAGTAGCCAACTTTATTAGCCCTATTTGCAGATGATATGATCCTATACTTAAAAGACCCCAAAAAACTTAGGTCTCATAAACATTTTCAGCAAAGCAGCAGGATTAAAAAAAAAAATCAACGTACAAAAATCAGTAGCTTTTCTACATACTAGTACTAGATTGAGAAAAAAAACTCAGGAAAATAATCTTATTCACAATAGCTAGAAAAAAATAGGAATGAATCTAACAAAGGAGGTGAAAGACTTCTACCCTGAAAACTATAAAACCTTGGAACAAGAAATCAAAGATGACAAACACCACCAATGTTCATGCCTCAGCAGAGTGAATATAATAAATATGTCTACACTACTGAAAACAATATGCAGATTCAATGCAATTCCCATCAAAATTCCAATGTTATTTACTCCAGAATTATAAAAAATCAATACTAAAATTCATATGGAAGCACACAAAATCCCAAATAACCAACACAATCCTGAGAAAAAGAGCAGTGCTGATGGTATCACAATACCTGACTTCAAAGTATAGTACAGAGTCATAGTAACACAAACAGCATGGTACTGGCACAAAAACAGACATGCAGATCAATGGAACAGAAGATTCAGAAATAAGCCTATACAGGTACAACCACCTGATTTTTACAAATGGTGCTGAGAAAACTGGATGTCTACATGTAGAAAACTGAAATTAGATCCCTATCAAAATGGATCAAAGATCTAAATTTAAGATCTAAAACTTTGAAAATACTAGGGGAAAATATAAGAATAGATAAGATCTTTCTAATTAGGACTTGAATTGCTCAGGAAATAAAAGCAAGAACTGACAAATGGGATTGCATCAATATTAAAAAGCTTCTGCACAACAAAGGAAACAATTACCAGAAATCAAGAAAAGACCTACAGAATGGTAGAAAATCTTGTCAGCTAGTCATCAGATAAAAGAATATATACAGAGTTAAAAAAAAAGTGAGCAATGAAAGGACAAACAATCCAATTAATAAATGGGAAACTAAATTGAACAGTTCTCAAAGAAGTACAAATTGTTTATCAATGCATGAAAAATGTTTAACATCCTTACCCATAATGCAAAAAAAACTACACTGAGTTTCCATCTTATCCCAGTTGGAATGACAATCATCAAGAAAACAAACTAACATATGCAGGAAAGGTTGTGGTAGGAAAAAAAGAACCGTTATACACTACTGGTCGGAAAGAAAATTTATGCAACCATTATGGAAATCAGTATGGAGGATTCTCAAGAAACTAAAAATACAATTACTATAGGATCCTGCTATATCTGAAGGAATGTAAATCAGCATACAACAGAGAATCCTGTACAACCATGTTACAGCAGCACTATTCACAATGGCCAGACTATGGAATCAGCCTATATGCCCATCAAACAATGAGTACATAAGAAAAATGTCAGATACAGAAATCATCATGTTAAGCAAAATAAGCCAGAGAAAGACAAATAATGCATGTTTTCTCTCACATATGAAATTTCTATCTAAAAAAATTAAGGACACAAGTATAAAATAGGAACTGTTAGGGGTTGGGAACCAACAAAAGGGAGGGTGAAGGGAAACAGTGAAGGAGGGAGGGTGACTATAACTGAATTACTTCATATGCATATGTGAAAATAGAATAGTGAAACCCATTAAAATTTGTTTAAAAGAGGATGGAGGGGGGTTAAGAAAGAGTAAGAGGGGATGAATTTGATCAAAGTACACTATTTGTATATATGGAAATAACACAATATATGCTAATAAAAAAAGAACAACAAAAAGATTTGCTAAAGATGGTTATTTCACAGTGTATGAAACTAGTACCTCTTGCATGTTCCTCTTGGACACATGGCTTTACAGATGCTTCTGCTTCTGACCTCCAAATCAGGCTGGCAGGTGACTGGCTTTTACTAGATCTATCTAGAATCCCAAGGACATGGCGGCCAATTGTTTCTTCAACAGCTGCTGTTGTCTTCACAACTTCTAAGAGAATCTTCAAAAGTCTGTTATTAGCTTTCTGCAGTGCATACCTGTACAGATAAAGAATCATTTCTTAATATATTAATCTTTTTAAAGAAAACTCCTTGCTAATATCCCACAAAAATGCACTCTAACATATGTGATTGGAAAATCACATATATGATCCTCTCTATTAAAATAATATGCAATTGCACCTACAATGAAGTGCTTTGTATTTTTGGTTTATCTTAAAAATATGAAAAGACCTGTTTTCTTCTAAATGTTTGGCCAGTTTAACTATGACATTTTTTGTTAAATATGCATCTTATTGACCTGAAAAATAAATCAAATAACTAAACTATTAGGTAGCTAAATCAGAAGAAAATTTTAAGGACATGTAAAATTGAAGTTTGAAAAAGTATGTAATACCTTAGCATATGTAATTTATTGAGCTGGCAATAGTATTCATAGTTACTCACATGCACATTTTACATTTCATCTCTTATTATGTGAATTTTTGCAACATATTTTAAAATATAATTTAAAAATGCCTCTAGAATAAAAAATGTATTATTTCTGCAATTTAGTAGTGATGAACTGCATGGTTAAATTATAAAAAGTAATAGGCAGAGGCCAATTTTTAAGAAGGTCTGTAGATAAATTTCAGTCTGCCAACAGCAGAAGGAATATAATAAGCTATTATCATTATTACAGCTGCTCTAGAGACAAAAATGTATCTAATTACACACATCACATTTTAGTAAGTAGAAAAAATATTTTCAAATAAATGGAAATAATAGTGTCTCACTTTTTTTAAAAGATAAAAATGCATTATTTTTTTAAAGATTAGAAAATACTGTTAACCATCTTCCAAAATAGCTCAGCACTAGAAATAATCACTATTTATACTTTAATGCCCATACATACATTTTAAAAACAAAAATGGGATTATGCTGGACAAAGTGTTGTTGTAAGCTTTCTTTCTGGCTTACATTGACCATTTTACCATGTCAAAAAATGTACTTCCATAAGTTGTCATTAAAAAAATAACCTGATTAATATTTAAACAACTAAACAACTCATTCTTTCTAACAGCAAACTATATATTTAATACATGTAGATAAAATAAGAGACTAAAGGTCTCTGGCTTACGAGAGTTTTATCTCTCAACTTCACATTGTAGATTACCAACAATCAAGTTAAAGGATATCGGTTTCACAGGCACATGATAAACCTATTTTAAGACAAGTTTTGCTTTAGTATTTGTCAAGTGAAGAGACAGTCCTATTTTTGTATCCAGATCAAATTCTCTGCTTATATAATCATGTAATTAAAAATAAAACTCAAGTTCTCTGTTTATATAACCAAGTAATTTAAAATAAAACTCTAAATAACTTAGCAGGAAGTAAAGCGTTTATTGCCTTAACTTTTACTGAAGTTTTGTTTAAGCCTAAAATCCCAGCAGAATATTGTTCAATATTTGAACTTAACAGAAGTAATTAAAGTATAATGTTAAAAAGAGATACTCATTTTTATCAACACTCATTATAAAATTCCTAAAAATTTGCAAAATATACAAATTAGTGATAAATAATATAAAATAAACACTGTTTATTTTATATTGCCATGGTAACTCTAATTTTCATACACTGTCTTTCTTGTTTGAGTTCCATACTGACTGTGTTCCATACTGATGATCCAATGGGGAAGCCAAAATCTTAGGGGCCAAATTCCTCCATGCAAGCTGAGGAAGGAGGTTAGGAGGACATAAAAGGGTTGACAGTCACAGAAATTGGAAAAGGAGGAAATTAAGTTAGTAGATATTAGTTTTAATTTAAAGAAATTATTTTTATTTGAACAAAAGAAATTTTAGAACATTGTTTTTAAAGGCCTTAATATTAATATGGGCTAACTTCTTAGATAGTACAGTACTGAATATTTTTATATTAACCTCTACAAAATCAAAGTAAGGAAAAGTTTTGTTGACATTGGGTGATTAATTTATTTCTCTATAAAACTGGGCTATGGATTAAAAGTTCTGTTATGCAGCAAATGCATGAAAGAAGCTAAATGCAGAATATTTATATTTATAGTAATTTTTTTCTCAGCATAAATAATCCAGGGAATAGCTAATACCGAATGCATGTCCATAAAATAAATGAGGAATCAAAAAATAAAGCTCACAGGTACAACTGTTTTTAGGATACAAAACTGCATTAAGAATAAAATTAATCAAGGTCCAATATCCAAATAATTCCTAAATATTTAAAGGCAAGTAAATGAGCAATATCCATTACAAATTATATTATTATAAAAGTTTTAAAACACTAGTCTATTTAATGATAAAAACATTAATAATCCTTTATACAGTACACATAAATGGACAGGTTCGTACACAGATAGTATGATGGCAGAAATAGTATGATCTGTACAAAGTACAAATTCACAAGATAAAAATAAGAACAAATAATGTTTATTACACTGAAACAACTTTGCATTATAAAAAAAACATTTTATATACCTTTCAGTGGACAGAATATCAAGAGGTACATCTCCAGGTTTTCTGTCTAATTCCTTTTCTTTAAACGTCTGTTCCTCAACTTCCACTTGGTTTTCAGTTCCATCCTGTTTAAGTTTGTGTAAAGGCAGAGAGGACAAGACAGAAAGAAAACCTGTCATCATGGAAAGAGCATGACATTTTTATATACTGGTATGAGGTGAAACTGAAACTTCTGTGCACAAAGTAGATACTACTTGAAATAATATTTAACTACATTTTACCAAGAGTCTAGCATTATCAAAAAAAGATAAAACATTCTAGTCCACAGATGAAAGACATTTTAATGGTTTCAAAATAATGCATGCTATATAATGCTACAATAAAGTTTGTTAGGCTGTTCCTTGGTGGAGCAACAGTTGCTGCCATAGCAATGCCAGAATCAAATTACTTTAAATGAAATGCAAAGCATTTTGACTCCACCTACCTTACATGTAAGTGATCACAAATATGTTAAGCTCAATACCTATAAAAATACATGTCACACCAACAATAGAGACAAACAAATCCTACTGCATTGTTGATCCATTGCTCCTAGGTGAGCCAAGGTCCATACTACCTGTGTTTGCGTACTGCTGTTGCGCAGCTCACAACACAGCTTCTCTCTTCCAGCTAAAGACAGCTGCTTTAGTGCTTCCAGCTCCTCTAAAAGCACCCTCTCTCTCTCTGAAACCAGGTTTTCATTATCTATTGAGGATCTCTAAATAAGAAAAAAGGTCATGAGAGAATATTGTTTGCGACAGAGGAAAGGAAGAGAAACATTAAGCAGGTTTCTTTTAACCCCTTGGAACCAAAAGGCCTTGGTTTTAAGTATGATTCATATTCCATTATAAGGGGTTAAAAGGCATATACAAAGTTCAATGCAAAATCTGAAACTTTAGAAAAAAGTTAATTTAGTTTAAATATACAGAAATTTGTACAGTTCAGTATTTTTAGGTCAATTTTGCATTGAAAATTCAGAAATATGAATTCACAAAATACAATGAAGAAAAGCAAAACTGATTCTTCCATATAATGCAACTTATGCTTCAATCCCAATTTTCTTATTATTTTTGAAAGAACATATGTTGAAAGTTCCCTATTTCTTATTTCTTTTAGTTTTAGTTTTCAAAAATGATGTTTTCATAAGAATTTTTAAAATATTTCTTGCTTTTCTGCAATGATTTGTGAGTATATTTTATATAGTAATAAACAAGAATATAGGTCCCAAGTACCAAAGAATATTAAAATTTACTCAAGAAAGGGGTAAGTGTTATATTAATTTCCATTTCTTAAATCAACAACAGATATTTCCCTGGAGAAATTTTTAGAAACATGCTACTTCAGAAGATTCCCATTCATGATTAAAGATAGATTAAAGATAGATAAAGGTAAACTTTGGAGCTGCTAATTGGTGGACTCAAAGAAGAATAAATGCATATGGGAAAACTGAATGATAGCAACTGCATACACAAGCACCTCAGCACAAAGTATTTCCAAAACCGTTTAAGTGCTTTTGCTATATATGACCAACAGAATACTTTTTTGTTTTTAATGAACCTTGTAGCCATTTTTTCAAACACAGTAAAATAAAATTACAGGAACACAATGTACACTACAAGACTGAGTTAGGTGTGCCTAACAAGATCTAAAACTGTTGTGATGATGGAGTGTGTTCCGGATGCTAAATATTTGTAGTTTATACAAATCTTGGCAGTCATTTTGTTTAAAAAGAAAAAAAAAAGACTAAATAAAGAATACTGCTATTTTAATTGTGGAGAAGAGGGACTCTAAGTCCCATACCTGGGCTAATTGCCTATTTAGTCTCTTAATCTCCTCTTGCAGCTGTTCCTGGTCTTCTCGCTGTCTCTCCATCTGTCGCATGTGTGCCTGCCTCAGCAATTCTGTTGCCTGCTGATGTTCTTCATATTGTCGTACAAGTTCCTGCCTCATATCTTCCAACTGTTCTTCATTTAACATCAGCTGTTTAGAAGCATCCATGCTTGACATCAACATTTGATCATGGATCTTTAATAGTAAAAAAAAAAATTAAACCATACACATTTTCTGCAAATTCGTAAGCACTGATAATTTAATAACAGCATGAATAAACTTTTAAAATGGTATTTCTCTCAATACCAATAAAATGCTTTAAACTATCTTAAGTAGGTAGCTCTTTCCTTATATGTTTAACTGAGCAAATCTTTAAGTCAGATATTGCCAAATTATGGTATAATTAATCCTAAATTAGATGAAACAAAATTAATGTAAGTGTAACTTACAGTGAGATTTTAATATGCATAATGTGTACAGACAAACAAGACTACTATGAGCCAGATTTGTTTTATGTAATATCAGTATTATGATAGTTAACCATATACTACAATTAATAAAACATAATAATGTGAATCATTAACTCAAGCCCAGGCAAACATTCAAAAAAAGTAGAGAGAGAGAGCATATAGAATCTTTGCCAGATATTCACCTGACAGGGAATTAATACACAGAAAATATAAAGACCTCAAAAGAATAAACACCAAAATAACAAATAATCTAATCAATAAGTGGACAAATGAACTCAATTGACACTTTTCAAATAAAGAAGTACATATGGCCAGTAAGTACAGACAAAAATGTTCAACATCTGTAGCCATCAGGAAAATGCAAGTCAAAACTATACTGATGATAGAGTGCCTGCTTTGCAAGTGTGAAGCTGAGTTCAAACCCAAGACCCACCAAAAAAGAAAGAAAATTATTTTGAATTCTACCACACCCAAGTCAGAATGGATCATGAAACAAATAACAACAAATGCTGATGAGGATGTTGGAAAAAAGGGAACTCTTAGTCACTGGTTGGAATACACATTAGAACAGCCACTGTGGAAATCAGTATGACTGTTCTTCAAAACAATAAAAACAGAAGTCCCATATGACCCAGCAATACCACTTCTGGACATATACCCAAAAGAATGAAAGTCAGCTTAACCACAGAGACACCTGTATGCCCATGCTTATTTGCAACACTATTCACAATAGCTAAATTGTAGAATTGGCCTAGGTGCCCATCAGTGCATGAATGGATAAAGAAAATGGTTAAAAAGTTTAAAAAAGAAAAGCCAGGCATGGTGGCTCACACTTGTAAACTTAGCTACTCACGAGGCAGAGACTGGGAGAATTGCAGTTCAAAGCCAGCCCCAGGCAAACAGTTCTCCAGACCCTCAAAAAAACCCATCACAAAAAAAGGGCTGTGGCTGAAGCGGTAAGAGTGCCTGCCTAGCAAATGTGAGGCCCTGAGTTGCTGATTAGAAAAAAGAGAACATGTGGTATATGGCTACAGTTGAGTTTCACCTAGCCGTTAGAGAAGAATGAAATTATGGCTGGGCATGGTGCCTCATGCCTTTGGTCCCCGCTACTCAGAAGGCAGAGATAGGGAGGATCAAGATTCAAGGCCAGCCTGGCAAAAAGTTTGAGAGCCCATCTCAATCAATAAGCTGGGCATGGTGGCATGGGCCCACAGTCCCAGCTATGCAGGAGGCTGTAGGTAGAAGGATCGAAGTCTGAGACTGTCCCCAGTCTAAAACAGGAGATCCTATCTAAAAAATAAAGCAAAAAATGCACTGGGGGCATGGCTAAGTGGTACAGTACTGCCTAGCAAGCACAAAGCCCTGAGTTGAAACCCCAATACTGGAAAAAATAAATAAATAAAGTTGTGTTATTTGCTGAAAAATGAATGGAACAGTAGATCATCATGTTAAGTGAATTAAGCCAGTCCCAGTGGCCATGAGTTCAAACCTCAGTACAGATTAAAAAAAAAAAAAAAGCACATTGCACGCCTGTATGGAAGTATAATGAAACTCCTACTATGTATAATAAATATATGCCAATAAAAAAATTAAAGGCCTAGACTTGATACTTTCCTCCTGTATTAAGTATTTCTATTAACAACTTTATAGTGAAGGAAGTCATTGTTTTTATGTTATTTTATATTTAAGGGAGCATACTCACAGATTCTCTGGCTATAAATGTTTTATCTTTGGAGAACATTTCTTCTGAAATAGTCAATTCATGGTCTTTTGATTCTAGTATGTCTTCAAGATCATAATTATTTGATATCAGAACTTCTTTTTCATCTTCTCCTAACTCTTTACTAAGTGGTTTAAATTCTTCTTGAAATTTCTTATCTATTGCCTCAAAAGTCTGAAGGCAAACTTGACTCTGTGTTAAGTTCATTTCTTTAAAATGCTCATCCTGCTGACACAAAGCATGTGCTTGTTTTGATGATATAGTATTTTCTTTCCCTCCAGATATTCTGGACAGTTCAGTCTGTTGGGCAAATGCCACACTCATTGACACAATGACCTAAAGAAATAAAGTAAGTGAAAAAAAAAAAAGATTATATTTATAAACAGCAGTTGGAATTTAAAACACAAGCTACTATTCAAAAATTTATATGAATTAGAAAAAAATCTGGCCTCATACTTTTAAGCAAAAAAAAAAATCTTATGATACAGTGACAAATAGATAAATTCTCTATTTTACAATGGTCCTTGCAAGTCAGTTGCTTTATTACTTGGGTTGTGCCCTCAGCCCTACAATGAACTGAATTTCAAAGTATTTATTTTACTGCTTGCTTTTTTAAGTAAAATACAAGTAAAATTTTTCTTGTAATAGCAATAAATATACAGTAAAAAAAAACCCTAGAAAATAAGTCTCCAATTCTTTCTTCTAAGAAAATTTATTACAAACACTTTAGTAAATACTTCTCCAAACCTTCTTCCTCTTCTTTACATAGATATTAGTATGCATTTTTCTACAAAAAGTGCAACCATACTCGATTTGCAATCACTTTTTATACCCTATTTATAGTAAACATCTCTTCTGGGCAAGTAATACATTTCTATATAATTTTCAATAAGTTCAGTGTTTTCTATATAGATGTATTATAAATTTATCCAACCATTTTTATTGTTGGATATTTAGGCTGATTCATTCATTCCTTCCATTTATCCATCCATCCATGCACCTACCTACCTACCTACCTATTTTTGAGATAGGATCTTTGCTGTGCAACCCAGGCTTGTGTTGAACCCATAATCGTCTTCCTTTACCCTCCCAAGTGCTGGGATTGCAGAGGTGTACCACCATGCCCAACCTATTCCATTCTTACACTATTTTAAACATCACTATGATGAAACTTTTGTAATTATATCACTGTGTAAATCTTTCTTACTTCTCCACAATAAATTCCTTCAAGTAGGACATATGATTTATATGACTAGTAAGTATGATTATACATTTCAATCTAATCTGAGTTTCTACTACATTTATGACCCTGAATCCATGTTATTTTAGTTTCCCCCTAGCACAGGTACTTAGAAATTCTGACACAAACCTAATCAAAGTCAGAGCAGAGAGAGACTTGTATGAAAGCAGTCTAACTATGGAGCTCAAGTACCTTAAAACACTCTATATTACATTGCTTGTGATCAGACAATCCCATGACTACATCTTACCTACTAAACTGGACCTCTTAGATGGCTATGCTAGCTCAGACAGAAAGGGTTTGATAATAATGTTCTACACGGTCATCTGGAACACACATCATTATAGCAAAATGTCAAAAGACAGAGATGAATTAGTTAACTAAATAATATGACTTAGTAAGAAGGACAAATGAAGAAAACACCAAGAACAAAATGATCATAAAGGCTTCCAAAGATACTATCTTTATAAGAACTAGAAGGTGAGAAGGATCTTCTTAGCAGAACAAGAGAAATCAGAAAATAGTGGGATGCTATCTTCAAAGTTCTGACAAAAAACACTGCCAATCCTGGTTCAAATGGCCAATACAACTATCTTCTATGGACCAACATAAAATAAAGACATAAAAGAAAGAGAAAGTTGATTCCCAATGAATCATCAGTAAAAGAACTTCGAAAGGATGTCTTTTGAAAAGCAGAACAATGATCCTAAAAGGAAAGCTTCAGATGCAAAAAAGAATTAGAAAATTAAAAACATTTCATATAAAACTGCAGATGTAGCTTAATGGTAAATTACTTGCCTAGCATGGTTCTATCATTAGCACTGTAAAACAAAACAGAACCAGGCCAGGTGGCTCATGCCTGCCTCCTGAGGTAGAGATCACAAAGACTGCAATTCAAGGCCAGCCATGACAAAAGCAAGACCCCAACTCAACCAATAAAAAACTGGGCATGTCATCTCAATGTGCCTGTCATCTCAAGTAGGCAGGAGGTGTAAACAGGAGAATCGCAGTCCAGGCCAGCCCTGGTATAGCAGTGAGACCCTATTCATAAAATAACTAAAGCAAAAAGGGCTAGTGCCTTGGATCAGGTGGTGGACCACCTGCTTGGAAGCACAATGCTCTTAGTTCAACCCCCAATAGTGCTAAACAAACAAACAAAACACAAAGTACCCCATACAACAGCAGCAAACAACAAAAAACCCCAAATTTAAATACTAATGGTATAAAGCACTAATTACATCTGATATAAAGTAAAGCAATAATTAACATTCCTTCTGGGTAGCATATAGTAAGCCCATTACATCTTTTCTTGCATAATTATGACTCAAAACCTTGAAAGTAAACAAGCAACTACCTGAGAACTCTGTAAAGTAAGCAAAGGCAAGCTGACTGAAGAGGGGAGCCAAAACTTAGAAAAGTAATCTGTAGGGGAAAGGTAATATGGAACCTGTGGTCTGAACCTAACTGGACTGATTGCATGCTTCTTTTTTTTTTTTTTAAATTCACATTCTCCAGAGGATTATAATGAGACTCAGGGTCTGCAACACATAATATTCAAAATGTTTAATACACTATTCAGAACCGCCGGATGATATGTAATTCATTGCATGGTGAACTCACTATAGGCAGGCTAAAGGAAGTTTTTCAGGCTGAAGACCAACAATACCAGAGGGAATCTGAAATTTGAACAACAGCAAGATACACATTCTTTCCAGGTACATATGGAACATTCATTCAGATGATGTTTTTCCACTTACTGAATCAAAAACTAAATTCTTTTATCTTCCACAACTCTCTCAAAATTACTCTTTTGCAGTTTTTTGCATCCTACTAAATAAAGAACCCAATCAAACTCCTCTAACCTAATGTACTTAGCAGCTGGGCAAGTACCAGCTAAGTAAGTCTCTTTGCTACCCTTTCTTAAAAAAATTTTTACTTTATTGTGCTGGGTGGGGGTACACTGTGGCATTTACAAAGGTTCTTACAATATATCAACTATATCATATTTATATTTACCTCCTCCACCATTCTCCTTTATCCTTCCCTCCCCCTATTCAAGAAATAGTTTCAACAGTTACCTTTTTTCCATTTACACATGTGTACACAGTATTTGCACCATATTCACCTCTTACACCCTTTCCCCACCTCCTCCCAGCTCCCACTGGTATCAACCCCTTTGCCCCCATACCAGGGAGGACCTGTTCTCCAATTTTGCAAGAAATTACATTTTTGCTTGTTTAAGGTACCTTGCTATCCTTTTGGAGACTTTGTTAGAGTAATTCTTTTTTTAGTTCTTGTCTCTCTCAGTTACCTTTTTTTCCCAATTCCTTACAAGGTCTTCAACCCAGCATATGTGTGAGAGAGAAAGAGAGAGAGAGAGAGAGAAAGACAGAGAGAGTGAGAGTGTGTGTGTGTGTGTGTGTGTGTGTGTGTGTGTGTAATATGTGTGTGTATATAAATTTACTCCCTCACTTCCTTCAGGATTCCCTTTTAATTATCACTTTATAAGTGAGGTCTCCCATGACAACCCAATGTAAAACAACACTGCATTGCTCCTCACGGATTTTCTTAGTATTATTCTCTACTTGTTTTTTTCTTTGCAGTACTATCACCATCTGCATTTATTTATTCTAAGTGGAATGTAAGGTCTATGGACAAAGGTTTCATCTTTTCTTTTTCTTTGCTATACCCCAGCACCCAGAACATTGCCTGGCAATGAAACATAAATAAATGTCTGTTTTTAGCAGTAAGTACCCAAATCACAGGGATCTATACTGGCATCTGTACCACTCCTATTGGGTTTCTATATTGCCTGAGCTTTTAGAAAAATGGTTCTTAATCTTTTTCCAAAACCATTATCTCAGGGCAAATGTATAAAATAATCTCATCAGTACTGATGACTACTGCTAATAATTTATATTATTCTAAGACCAAGCTGTTGTCTCCTGGGCCATAGAATGATCTTTAGAATAGTTTTCGCTATCAGGAATGGTGTTACATGCCTATAATTCTACCTCAGGAGGTAGAGGCCAGCCTGCGCTACTAGCAATACCTGCTACTAAAAAACACAAATCGTTTTCAATGACCTGTACTTTGGTGTTCTGCTCTCAGCTTGGATGAAGGATGTTATATAAATCATCTTTCTATTATCATGGTGATTAGACTACTTCAAAAATATTATTTATGAATCTATAGTATGTATCAACCGATTTGTTATGTGCTCTATATTCATTAGTTCATACAATCCTTACAAGAACTATTATTCTCCTCTTTTAACATATAGGGACCTAAGATTCAGAAGTTAAGTAACTTTCCTAAGGTCACAAATATAGTAAGCCAGAAGAATAAGAATTTAAATTATGCTATGCCCAACATCACAGTTCATGTTATTTATTATAATATGGTACCAGATGTAACATTTTATTTAACCAACTTACGTAGGAGTTAAGTGCAAGAGAAAACTTGCATTTCTCTTAGAACCAGTGAGGCCTGTATACAAATGATGGTGCTTAATTTTTTACCTTGATTGTTAAGAACTATTCATTCTGCTCAGACATAGTAAATGGGTAAGTCTTCATGACTCAGTATTTTGTTGGGTCTTGACTCCTCATGTAATTTATGTTTTCCCTAATATCTTATGTATATGTTGTACAGTATATCAATTCTCCTCCTTTATAACATGTACGTTATTCTCCACCTGGATTGCTATATTGGAATAGTTGGAATATTATAAAAAATAAACAAACTCATAATTCAGCAGTTCTAATTTTATATTGAACTGGGTATACGCATTCTGAAAGAAAATGCAAAAACTAAATGGAACCATAATGGTTGACTAGGTTACATGGTTTATGCTCAAGAGTTTAAAAGAATGACTCTGGGATACAAAGATAAACAAGCTTTACAATGATAAACTCCTCCACTTAGCCAGCAGCTAATGTTCAGTGATAATCCTCCCTTAGTATCTGTAGTCACTATCTAACACCACAGTACCTTCTCTGAGAAGAGCTAGGCAAAGGTAACATACAGAGGACCAACTACCTTCTCTCCTACTTTTAAGGAAGGTCAAACTCCTTCACAGATAACCACTCACAAGGCAACAAAGACCTGTGGCATTCTGAAAAGCTGTTAATTACTATTCTGTATCAAGAGAAGAATGTTTGTTTCAAAGAAAAAGTCACAGGATATTCCACTTAAAAGCAATTATAACACCAGGTATGGTGGCACACATTTGACTTAAAGATGAGCTATATATGAAACTTGTAACTAAAAATATGGTGTATATCATCAGTAAAACCTATGTTTTTGAAGGTTCATAGAAAATATTAACCAAGACAATCTTACAGATAAACTATACACTTACCTTAGCTACTTCTTCTTCTAATCGTTCTTGATACTGTTTTTCCAGCAACGTCACCATATTTTTTTCTTGTTTCACTCCAAATTCACCAGAAAACTAAATTAAAAAGCAAAATATGGCATTTATTTACACTAATTGTACACCACTTATTTTAAGCCCCTACTCTCAAAATGTTCTCAAAATATCACTACTTTTTAGAAAACTTCTGGATATTTTCAGTAAAAAAGTTTTTTTTCGTTCTCATTTAACTAAAAACATTAATTCTAGTGAGTAATTCTACCAGTTATACTTGTTTCTGTGAACCTAGAGATGAAAAGAGGTAAATGTATTTACATATTTATAATTTTACTAATATAATTCTAGAGTGGGTTAAGGATACTTTAATATGATTATGTATATATGTACATTTCAAGTAATTATGCTAAACAGTGGCTATGTTTGCTAGTGAATTATAAGCAGTTTTTCTTTTCTTGGTATTTATTAGTAGGACCAATTTTACACAAATACAAATAATTTATATTAATATGAAAAACCATAAACTTTTAAAGTAAATGTAAACACGTTCTCAGCATAAAAGTATCTGTGTATTTACCAATTATCTGAAGTTCATCCAAACAGATATTTCAGAAGAATCTGAAATGTCACTAATGTATCTCCTTGATAAAGAGAATGAGCAAGGACAATGATCTTTACTTTCTCTAGGACATACAAGCTAAAAATCTACTGAGTGAAGATGAAGACTAGGGTTCTACAGTTAAGAGGGTTGAGAAAAGTTTTTAGAATTGGAAATAATACAATGTTGAGGAAAGGCAGAGAGTGATTTATCTAGATGGGATGCACTGTAAAAGATGAGGAGCTTTTATATAGGGTACAGCAGGAGGCCTCATCAATCATCATAGCCCTAGCACCTTTGATTTTTTGGATTACCAAGAACTATACTAAAGATGGCTTGGTCCTACTTTCCACTGTAGAAGAAAAAAATTATGCTGGCTAGGGTACTGAAATTGATTTGTTATATAGCCCATAAATAAATGTTACAAAAAAATTAAACAAAATCTAAACCATAATACACTCAAGAGGAAGATTTTAACATTTTTGTGGGTTTTTTTTTTTTGTGACTTTGAATTCAAGGCTTCATGGTTGCTAGGCAAGCACTCTACCAGTTGAGCCACTCTGCTAGCCCTGTTTTGTGTTTGGTATTTTTGACATAGGGTCTTGTGACCTATTTGCCCAGGCTGGCTTTGAACCGTGATCCTTGTGATGTCTGCCTCCTGAATAGCTAGGATTACAGGCGTGAGCAACCAGTGCCTGGTTTCTATGAAAATACATTATTTCTTTAAATATTGGGGTCGTTTATAGATGTTACTATTCCTCATACCTATTATGGGGATTTACTGGATAATTACAAAAGCAATTATTGAATAGTTACAATATTATAGGTATAAAAATGATACAAGGAAAATAAAGTCAATGTAGACAATTCAAAAATAAGATTAAAAATATGATACCTCTACTGTACCATCAACATTCTCTTTTAGACAGTTTTCAGGGTACATTGTTCTCTGTACATCAGATTCTTTAATTAGCACTGAATCAATGGAGAAGCTAAATATAAATAAAAGAGAGTAAAGGAATTAGAGTTGTGTGTTTTACTATTTGTCCAAAATTTATACCATTAGTGCTAGGGCAAGAAAGGAAAAAAAATGAAAGGTCAAAGGAACAGGTATTATAACTTAAATCACATTATGATGAATTTTTCCATTTGAAAGTAACATAATTGCATGACAGTATTTTAACAGATCACCAAATAAAACTTACGACATTTTATAAAGTCTACTACAAATGTATGATGTAAGTATTTAAAGGTACTGATTTTCTTAAGTCACCTAAGGTATATTATTTAACAGAAAAATTGGTAAAATCTTACTTTTATTAAAAACTTGTTTAAAAAAAAATACCTCAACGCAGAGAAACTAAAGCAGATACTTTAAAGCAACTGAGGCCAATAGAAGGGACCAGGAACTAGAGAAAAGGTTAGATTAAAAAGAATTTTTTTTTTTAGGGTTGCTATTGTTTATTCAGAAGTGTTGTACTGGGTGGGGGGGGGGGAGGATGTGGCCCAAATAATGTATACACATGTAAGTAAATGTAAAAACGATGGAAAAAAAAAGTATTGCTCTTAAAATTTAGGAAAAACTGTTAACCCTTTCCCCTAGAACTTGGCCCCTTGCCCTTGAAGTCTCCAGAACCCTAGCAGTCTTAGCATAAGCTTGCCATTTATTTTTAGTTAATACTGTGGCAAAGAAAGGGGAGCAGAGAAGTCAATGACTATAAGGACTTCCCTCTCACATAAAAATGTTTTCTAAAAAGTTAGATGTCTTGAGCAAATTTAATGAAATCTATGGACTGGTGCCCGGCAGGAACAGCATTTCTAATAGAGTATAATGAAGATTAAATGATACAATGCCTGTGAAAAGCTTGAGAAATATTTAATCTTCCAAAAAAGTTAACTTTGCTGGCACCAGTGGCAGAGATCAGAAGGATCAAGGATCGAAACCATTCTGGGGAAATAGTTCTTGAGACCTTATTTCAAAATTATCCAACATATCAAACACACAAAAAGCCTGGCAGAGTGACATAAATAGTAGAGGGGCTTCCTAGCAAGTGTAGATCAAAAAGAATTAACCTAGAAGGTAACACATATGCACAGGAAATCACTGTGAGTCAACTCCTTATCTCAACTAGCAAAAACCCTTGGTCCTTCCTATTATTGCTTATACTCTCTCTTCAACAAAATTAGAGATAAGGGCAAAATAGTTTCTGCCGGGTAGCGAGGGGGTGGGGGGGAGAGGGAAGGGGTGTGGGGGAGGGAGTAAGGGAGGGGGTGGAGGAAGGGGGGAGAAATGATCCAAACATTGCATGCACATATGAACAACAACAACAAAAGATTAGGACAAGACAGGAAATGCTTACTCAACACTTCCATTCAACACAGTGCAGAAATCCTAGACTGAACACTTGGGCAAGAGAAGGAAAGAAAAGGAATCCAAATTTAAATGAAAAGGTTAAATTGTCTTCGCAGAAAATAGGATCTTATAGATAGAAAAACCCTAAAGACCTCACCAAAAAACTGTTAGAACTAATAAGCCAATTCAGTAATACATAATCAACACACAAAAATCAGTGGTGTTTCCATACACTAAGAGGAACTATCCACAAAAGAAACCAAGAGAAAAATCCACTTATGATAGCAGCAAAACAACAACAGCAACAAAACACTTAGGCACAAATTTAACCAATAATTCCGCTGAGTGAATTAAAAACAAAAACTGTTTTAAATGTAAAAAAAAAAAAAAAAATATATATATATATAGTCACAGACAAAGGTCTAGAAGAGAATACACATCAAAAGTAACAATGATTACCTATAGTGGAACTGAGGTACACTGGCAGTAAAGACAAGATTCTTAATTTACACAATGGCTTTTGGACTTTGTTGTCTTTAATCTATTTATGTATCTTTTGGTATTTGTGTCTGTACGCTATATTCTTCTACAAACCATCACCATGTTATAATTCACTTTCCTTAAAATGCTTAACTTGGATAATAAGGTAAGATTAGTGTTTAGGAAACATAGAGAATGGACAAAAAGGAGAAAATTTTAATTTTAGGCAAACATAATTTGTCACTCCCATTTTCAGGTGCACCCATACTGCGCTTTTCATTCCATTCACCTCTTGTCTACCCACCCTCTTTCTTCTATTCTCTTCCACATTTTTCTCTGTCCAAAATATGCCATTGTCCAATTTCATAACTCATCTAACTTCTGATGGACATTTGGTTGTTCTGAAATAGTCACTATTGTAAACAATGTTATAATATTGATTCTTATAGATATGGCTTTTCATACTTCTAGGTATTTCTGTGGTAAGATCTAATTTTAAAGATTAATATTCAAAATTGTGGTACAGTACCATATTCCAAATTAATCTCAATCTCAAAAGAGTATCATTTTAAATATTCCAAATTAATCTCAATCTTATAAAAGTATCATTATAAATTTTTTTTTAATTTCAACAACAAAGAGTAGCTATAATCTTCAAACTCTATTGGAACATATATTTCTGAGTTACATCCTCTTTCAAATGCTTCCGGACATTTAAGTTTCTCCTGCTGTGAACTACACATTCATACTTTGTACCAATCTCAGGTTTCTAAAACCTTGTTTCCTTTGTACTTCATCTCTAACCTTTCCCGCTTCTCTTATCTTTCTCACCATTTTATCTGTTTTTCTCACTGTCCCTTTCACACACTATTCTGATCCTTGACTCAAGTTCTTGTCTTTGAATTTCATAGTCTGGATTACATACTGTTATGATCAAACTCCAAAAAAGTACTACTTGGTTCTCAATGACTTCATTCTGTAAGACTTCTAGCATTTGAAAGTGTTTATTCCAAAATGGAAAAAAAAAAGTCCAGCTAACACTGCTCTTACTCCTTTCTCCCTGTCAAATTTCACTGTTTATATTAATACACTGTCATTCTTCATATTTCTTAGGTCCAAATTATACAGGATCATTTTTATTTTTCCTTATGATTTCAACATTCCTTCTGTCACATTTTCTCAATATTCATCCTTCATTTCCATTTCCCTGTAGGCATTATTACAGAAATGTGCAATGAAAACTGCCATATGGACATAGGTTTAAATTCCAACACTCTGGTTATGTCACTAGGTTATAACCCCCAACCACTACCTTTTTAAAATTATTTGTAACAATTCTTATTTCAATGATTACACTGAAACCTCTGGAAAGAGTCACTTTAATATTCTCCATAGGATCAAGTCAAGGTTCTTCTTAGTTACTGTTTCACTTAATCCTCATAATCTTAAAGGTATTTGTTATAATCCTTATTACTATTTAGAAATGTTTAAATCATCTGCTCATGATCACATAAAGATAAAATTGAGGGTCAAACGCATGTTTATTTGACTCTAAAACTCATGGTCTTTCCAGTCCTCGGTATTTCTCTAGGAGGCCTCTGGAATGAAGTCACCAAATGTTTATCAAATGAATGACTCAATTATTTTTCTTAAACTATTTCAAGTCTACTTCCAGAGAAGAGTAAACTCTTTATTCAAAATGTGTTACAAATGTGTCCAAAATGTGACGCATTTGATGATATTTATAAGAAATAAGTTTGACTCATTATTGTAAGAAAGAACTATTTGGGGGAGCGTAGAGGACAGTAAACAACAGTTTTAGCTGAAAGATATTGTCAACACATTTCTACTGATTATTACAGGAGGTCTGACAGACAGTAGTGAGCTGTCAGAAGCCTAAATGCAGGAACAGCAAAGTAAGTCTACATTTCCAGAATCACCCTTTTCTTCATGCACTGGAGAGAAAGCACCACTAACTAAAGAAGGACAACTTGAAATAGAGTAACTGGTTAAGAGAGATTTCTTTCATATTAGAAAGCCTAAAGCAACGGTTCCCAAATGTCAATCCATGGGCTGTGTACATCAGAATTCTTTTCTTTTTTCTTTTGCAGTACTAGGGCTTGAACTCAGGGCCTACACCTTAAACCATTCTGTATCTTTTTTTTTTTTTTTGTGATGGGGTTTTTTGAGTTAGGGTCTCATGAACTATTTTCCCAGGCTGGCTTTGAACTACAATCCTACTGATCTCTACCTCCTGAGTAGCTAGGATTATAGGTATGAGCCATCGGCACCTGGCCAGAATTATTTTCTTAAAAACATTTTGGTCTGACTCTCTAAATGTGCAACTAAGTAATTTGTGATTCTAAACACTAAAAAGTATTAAATTTCAAAAGCCTCTAGTGTTTCTGATGCATGGTCATATTTAGGAACCACTGAATTCAAAGAAGCTGGGGGCTTTTTAAGATTGTGTCAATAATGAGTGACCAATCCCAAGGCCTGTATGTAGGCCCTGAGTAAAAAAGGGAGTAACAGATTGCTTTCAAAGAAATAAGGACATTCTGTATTTTGTCCCCCTCCACCACAACAGAAAAGTTTCTTGAGGTTCCATTAACAAATGTTAGGGAGTGGGGGGCGTAAGTGGGGGAGGTGGTCCAAACAATATATACACAAGTAAATGTAAACATGATAAAATAAAAAAATTTTTTTAAATGTCTTTTAAGACATTGGTCCTAGCTTTGTAGAGCCAGTCGAAGTGAGAATAAATTTAAGGCTTTTACAGAGCTTCTTATATGCTAAAGCACATTTCCCAACTAAATTATAAACTATGCATTCATTTACCAAATATCTATTAAGCACCTACTATATGCAGGAAATAGAATATACCAATTACTTAAATGGGTAAAGACCCCACCCATCTAAAGTTTAAAGTCCTTCTTGAGGACCTCAAAAAGCTTGTATTTCTTGAGAATAAAGTGATAGCCACATCACTAGGAGATAAAAGCCAGAGATATCATGGAGGTTACTGTGTAGGACCTAGTAGGATACTGTAAGTACAGAAAAACACTGGAATCACATGCTTTAGTTTAAGGTTTAAAGTCAAGTTCTAGCACCTGTGTTGACTATGTAGACAAAAGACCGTAGGGAGGAGTTAAGAGTAATCCAACTAAGATACAATGATGGCAGTGGAGTGGTAAGGAATGGTACAGTTCAGATGTACTTTAAAGGTAGAGAAAACAGTATTTCTTCAGAGACTGAAAGAGAGGTATGAGAGAGATGGACATATGTTGGATGAAGATGACTGCAAAAGGAGCAAGTTGAGAAGATCTAAGGTTCTACTTTAGGCATGGTAAATTTTAACATTACACAATGAAGTGGAGGAAATTGAGCCATGAATAGAATGATCCCATCTTATGGTGCCTGGGTATTCACATCAAAGTAGCAAAGTCCACATACAGAATAAACAACAAATATACATCTATTGCCAGTTTAGTCCAGCAGCTTAATCACAACATCTTTATAAAAGCGTAAGTAAAATTTCTATAATAAAATGCTTTTGGTTTGCACCAACATTTACTTCACATATTTCAAAGGTACAGAATTACCTCCTGCTCTTATTTTTTCAAAATGTTACAACCTATCTTTTTGCTTAAGTTACATTTTAGTCTTAAAACAACAATTCCAGGTAACATTATGGTTGTTGTTAAGCTACAAATACTGTTGCATGAAGCTATTAGTAGACAGATACCTGGGCTGAACTGTGGACTCACTAACAGCTAGACGCTTCTCTTGTAAACAATGGATCTCTGCCACATAGTTTTCTTCAGTTTCTTTCATTTGTTTTTGCAAAGAGGATATGAAGTTTTCTAATTCTTGAACTTGCTCTTCAAGTTGTTTAATTTTGATATCTTGCAGAGAAGATAACTTGCTTTTGTGATTGACATCTATGTTATAAGAACAGAATAAAATGCACATCTGAATGTAAACTTCTCAGTGAAATAACAAAATCACTTTTTTATGTGCATACAAAATGTTTATTCTCCTTTGAAAAATGCTTTTAGTGGTAATAACTTTAGTTTCAATTTGATTTATTGATTGAAGAAAACAAATAGTGTAATTCAAGATAATTTCTTTTGTCCTCATGGCTATAATTTCTCTAAATTCAATGATTTTATATCTATAAATTTAAAACAATTTAGAAACAGAACATAAGAAAAGAGAAAGGAACAAAGAGTTGAGTAGTCTACACCTATAATTTTAAGGATGAGAAAATTAAGTCCAGGTAAGTTTCAGTGAAATACCCTCAGTCACCAAATTATCTCAAATTTTAAAATAAAAAAGCAAATTAATGAATACTTGCATAAAAATACCACAATGTGGTATATCATCAAACTTTACCAATGTTTTGCAAATTAGTCATCTGAGAATGGGTTGATAAGAACTCTGTTTCCTCCTTTGACAGGTTTTCTTCTGCAAATTCAAGTTTTATACCATTTGCTTGCTGTCCCTGAACCTATTGAAAAAAACAAATGATCAGTGTCATAAATACATGATGTAGTATTTATATGATGTAGAAATATATATTAAAGCAATTAAAACAACTTTGCACTTAAGATGTTTTTACAAAACCTCCTAAAACTGTGACATTCTGATACAAAAATTTCCCTTGTAGGTTATTCCTGTTCTCTTTTGACTAGTGATTCATCCAATTTCCTTCACAGCACTGAAATTATATTTGCAATATTCTATGATACTCCAAAGAAAATTCATCTTCACAAAAACAAGTGCTCCATAGAGTTTTGGTAAAAACCCTGTAACAATATTTATAATCCAACTTCATCTTTGAAACTTCAACTCATACACAAAATTTTTATTATCAATACTTGAAAACATAACTGTTGTTCCTATTTGGACAACAGGTACAACCCAGATAACTGACAAATGGCATGCTACTGGTTACAATAAACATAAGGAAGGAAAATAATGAAAACAAGTAAATCATAGCTTACTTCCTAAACTATTAAAACTAGACAGCAATGTCAGATGCATGTATATTAATTTATTCATTCACTGAATACTTAATCTATGTGGCCAGCATTGTGACAAGGTAGTACAAAATCAGTATATGTGTATGTGTGTATGTGTGTGTGTGTGTGTATACTCACATATATGTATATTTCACACAGAACTTATCAAGTAATTGGAGAAATTAAAATTAAGCTATTCAAGAAGTACCAACTATGGAGTTTGAATGAAACAACAATGACACAGAAGACTGATGTGGCTCTAGGTAACTGTGAAGGAAGTCAAGTTTGTTTGGGCCTCAATCATTTTCAGAAATGATTTTTTTTTGAAAGACTACAATAAAGAGTAAGCGTATTTGTGAATAAATGACCTATGTTGTAATTAGCAAAGATAATGACCTTGCTGACAGGAGGTTAATTTGGATAAAAAAGTAGGAAATAAAACTAGATAAATGAAGTAACTCTAAATTCTAGAGGACCTTAAAAGAAAGGGAAAAGAATCTGGACTTTCTAGACTAGATGAACAAAGGGTAACTATAAAAGCAGGTAAGTAACAGGATAAAAGCTACTTCTCATGAAGGCTGTTCCAATTGGTCACTTCTTATCAAATGTCCTTTATCCCACTCCTACCTCCTGAGTTATTTCAATAGGGGATCATGCCAACTACTTTCCAGAGAAAATAAAGACCACTGTGTAAATTTGTAGGTTTCCAGCTCAAACATCTCTCATTAGAAATAAAACTTTCACTATCAGTTAAAACTTTTAAATCTGTCTAACATTTTAACAGAACTAATCAAAAAGTACTAAAAATAAACTGACAAAGACCTTTCTCACTTAATTCATTCAGCATTTACTGGGCCTTTACTGTGTACTAAGCAAACACTAGGCTAAGAGATGAGAAGACACAGAGGATTCCCTGATTCTAAAGATTTAAAACCTGATTGAAGAGGCAGATGATTAGGCAGGGATGTATTATATTCTTTCATTTGTTTTTGCAAAGAGGATATGAAGTTTTCTAATTCTTGAACTTGCTCTTCAAGTTGTTTAATTTTGATATCTTGCAGAGAAGATAACTTGCTTTTGTGATTGACATCTATGTTATAAGAACAGAATAAAATGCACATCTGAATGTAAACTTCTCAGTGAAATAACAAAATCACTTTTTTATGTGCATACAAAATGTTTATTCTCCTTTGAAAAATGCTTTTAGTGGTAATAACTTTAGTTTCAATTTGATTTATTGATTGAAGAAAACAAATAGTGTAATTCAAGATAATTTCTTTTGTCCTCATGGCTATAATTTCTCTAAATTCAATGATTTTATATCTATAAATTTAAAACAATTTAGAAACAGAACATAAGAAAAGAGAAAGGAACAAAGAGTTGAGTAGTCTACACCTATAATTTTAAGGATGAGAAAATTAAGTCCAGGTAAGTTTCAGTGAAATACCCTCAGTCACCAAATTATCTCAAATTTTAAAATAAAAAAGCAAATTAATGAATACTTGCATAAAAATACCACAATGTGGTGTATCATCAAACTTTACCAATGTTTTGCAAATTAGTCATCTGCGAATGGGTTGATAAGAACTCTGTTTCCTCCTTTGACAGGTTTTCTTCTGCATGAAGATTATAACACTTCTCTTTGCCAATATGTGCTGTTATTTCTCTAATTAATAAATTATATTGTGCCATGTATATTTTCTTACCTATTTTTCTATGAACATATTTTTAAGACAACTGCTTAATAATAAAATTGATATATACAACACTATGTGTTACTAATTGGCTATAAGCTAAACAACTAAACTAATAACCATATTTCTCTGTAATAGAAAAACAGACCCACTGCTTTAAAAATGCAGGGGGCTGGGGATATAGCTCAGTAATAGAGTGTTTACCTAGCATGTACAAGGGCCTTGGTTCAATCTCTGGCACTGAAAAGTAATTTCTATATACAATTAAATGCAATTGTGTACACAGCCATCATTTGACATACATACTTTATCATGATTTCAAAACCTTTCTCGGGGGTTATATATTATTCAACTTACAGGAATCTTTTCAGCTCACAGATACAAACTTTATCATGATTTCAAAACCATTCTCGGGGGTTATATATTATTCAACTTATAGGAATCTTTTCAGTTCACAGATACAAACGTTCTATTATAAACATAAATATGTTACTTTTTCTAATTTCCTTTTTTATGTTTATTTATTTTAGAATGTATTGTTGATAAAACCACTTAAAAAACAGCAGGTAACACAAATATGCAAACATTATACATGATACATTTGCTATTTCACTGACCTTGCTTAACCTTGTCTGGAGTACCAAGAATTTGTTGTATTCTTCTGCTACTTTGTTGAGAAGGTTATGCATGTTTTCTTGAAAGTCTAGAGGATAAATAATCAAAATGATTTCACTTCATAGTAAAAGTCTACAATTTTTTTTCTAAACGTTTTTATTAGTATATAATAGCTGTACCCTAGGGGGTGTGTTGTGACATTTCCATATATTTATACAATATACCTTGGTTTGGTTCAGCCCATTTTCTCATGTTATTCACCTATTTATAATTTAAGAAACTGTCTGCTTGTGATAAACCTCATGATTTAGTAATGAAAAATATAAAGCTCACTAATGTGAAACACTATAAAATTTGAAATTTTCATATTAAATGTTAATTTATTTTGTTATTCTTTAATTAAATGGCTTAATTATTATCCATACACATGAACAAGACTAGGAAACATTTCATCTGTGAAGGAACATCAAAAAACTAACTGAGATTGTAATTTGTTAAAATAAACTAAGACCAGATTTGCATTAAGAAAGGTTACTTTTAAAATTAGGATCTATGGTATTAGAATAAGGAAAAAGGTAAGAGTAGAGGAATAGAGGACAAAGCGAGAAGGAAGTCTGTAGATAGTTGGCACTATCTTCGCAGCACAATTACTGCAGCATAGAATGGTAGTATACATATTAAATACAAGATTTCCTTTCTGAAAAGAAGGAAGGATATTAGGTTGTGACTCCAGCTGGCTGGCGAGTGTGCCGTGACTAAGCTAGCAGCTCGTCACCAACTGACTCAAGCACCATTTAATACAATGCAGCGAGCTTTTCTTACCTTGAACTTCAGAGCCACACTCCTGCAATTCTGCTTCTTGATTTGGAGAGCTGTGAACACCAGAATTCTTTCTCTCTTCTACATTCATTTCACATTTTAAAGAAGTATAATATTCACCAAGGACACTGCATAAAGTCTGTTAAAAAATTCAGTATTTTAAGATTGAAATTTTTGATTTCTACCTCTAAATACTATTAAACATTATTATCCTAGATGAAAAGAGTCAAAATGTCAAGAGAAAAAAACAGAACTCACTCTTCCTCCACACTCACAATCAATCTGCAAAAGAAATAATCAAGTTTAAATGTTTTCTACTCTCTGACAGAAAATTCTAACATGAGGAAAATATTGATAATCTTCATTGCAGTAAACTATAATTTTTTTGCCTCCTTCTAATAATAAAATATATCTTTTGTTTTTCTTTTTTTTGGCAGTACTAGGGTTTAAACTCAGGGCCTCAGGCTTATTAAGCAGGCACTCTACCAGTTGAGACATACCACCCGCCCTTTTCTCTTTAGTTATTTTTCATTTAGCAGCTTGTGATTTTGCCTGGGGCCAGGCTCAGACCATGATCATCCTACCTATGCCTCCCATGTATCTGAGACTACAGACACATATCACCTGCCAGGTATTGTGTGAGATGGCGTCTTGCTAATTTTTTGCCCGGCTGATCTTGAACCATGAATTTCCTGATCTCCACCCACTAAGTAGCTGGGATCACAAATGTCTACCACCACACCCAGCACAATAAAATATATCTAATTCCTTGGATCCTATTCTGATGTTATCTCTGTAGTCTTAATATATCTATTATGTCAACTACCTTTGAAAATACATCACAGCACAGGAGTTCAGAAATGATGAATTGATTAGAAATCTATAAAATCTACAGAAATTATAATTTATCCAACAGGAGATACATGCTTCCTATAACATCTGAGAGTAGTTTTGGTGGTTTATACCCACACAAAAATTAAAAACACTTGGCATTGTTCTATTTGTTTTCCTAAGCAACAGACAACTCTATCCTCATTTAAAAATAATATATGACCTGAAATCATTTGATAAGTCCTCCAAATAAGTTTCTCCTTTGTCCCTCAAACAATTGGAAATACCATAAACAACTTTTAGATTTAAAAAGCGAATTGTTTATTGCTGCTATTTTGTGAGATTTCTTGAAATGTGCTTAAAAATTAAACTATACTGTTAGTTAGTAATTGGAGTACACTAAACTTTCAACACAGCCCCAAATGGAATTTTACCACATCAGAGTTGGTTTTAGAAATCTTAATGACTACTCAATTTATAGATGAGGTAACTGTGACCCAGAAAGATTAAGTAGCTCCTCCATGGCAACATCAATGATTGGTGTCTACTGTACTGGTGAGATAGTTATCTGAATTTGTTTTTGTTTTAAGTGATACTGGGGATTGCATCCAAGACTTCATGTGTGCTAGGCAAGTGTTCTATCACTGGGGCATACCTCAATCCTGAATTTCTTTTGTTTTAAACTGATTACTAGAAAAATTTTCATCCTCATTTTAAGCTTGACAATTCAGAAATATTTCTAAGTGTAGTTCTAGAAGTGTGACAGTGGAAAAAACTAGGTTGGATCATTCTGCTCATCAAATTAATAGCAACCTAAAATTTAGTGCCTCTTGTCACAAGCTACCTTTTAATTAATATTTTACCTTTGAGATGTCTGAACATTCTTCAGACACTGCCTTCTGAAGTCTTCTAATGAGCATCTGTAAAGGCTTTGCTTCACCATCCAACAGATCAGATCCTGTATTTAAGACATTTAATTTACATACTTTAGTACAATTATTATATTTAGATTATGTTTCAACTGGAAGCTTCCCTGCAATAAAACTGGTTTTAAATTTTTCATTTCTTACAAAGTTATTTTCCACTGCTCATTGTTAACTGCCTCAGATAATTTGTATGATTTTAACTTCTATACATGATATAAACTGGTAACTTTCAAAGTTACCAGTTTTTTCTCCTACTTTCCAATACAAGAAACACATCACACATCATTATCTATTATACATGAGCATATGTATATACATATATAAGCATATATATATGTGTATATATATATATGAAACAAAAATTTCACAAAGCAGTATTTATCCTTTCAAGCTAGGTATAGCTTAGTGATACACACTTGATCACCATGCACAATGCCCTGGGCTTGATTCCCAATACAGCAAAACAATAATAATGATAATAAAATAAAATAATTTACCCCTTTCTACATGCTATGTACTTTAAGGTTTTCTGTTCTATTCTACCCTTTTATTTTAAAAATGCTGGTCACTATTCACTAAACTGACTTTAAGGCCTATTAATTAATAGAGCCGCTAATTGACTTGCAATTTTGAAAGTACTAGACAGACTATCTTAAGAGGATACCAATAAAAAATAAAATGAAGTACATTTTCATTCCTACAGCAAAGATTTTTTTTCTCTCTAAATATCATTTCTTTACAAATAAGATAGCTAAAATTTATGTATAAAGAATCAATCTGGCAATTTTAAATTAAAATCCTGACAAAATAACAATGAAAGTAACAATACCACCTGCTTAAAAGGTTTTCTTTTTTTTTTTTTTGTGGGACTGGGGTTCGAACTTAGGGCTTCACACTTTCAAAGCAGGTGCTTGCAATGCAGGTGCTCTACCATTCACACTACATCTCCAGTCCATTTTGCTCTGATTATTTTGGAGATGGAGTCTCACAAACTATTTGTCTGAGTTGGCCTTGAACCACAATCCTCCCAATCTCAGCTTCTTAAGTAGGTAGGACATGTGTGAGACACCGGTGCCTGGCTAACAAGTGGATTTATGCATTTATTTTTTAAAATTGTTTTTTGGCAGTACTGGGATTTGAATTCTGGGCTTCATACTTTGCTAGGCAGGTACTCTACCGCTTGAGACATACTTCCAGTCCTACTTGCTTAAAATCTTATTCAATCTAAGTGTTCAAACCTATAGAACTCCTGAAAGGAAAAAGTATGGTATTCTTGATTAAGCCACTCTTTTTTTTTTTTTTGGTGGAACTGGGCTTTAAACTCAGGGTTTCACACTTTAAGAGCAATTCCATTGGAAAAACGTATGAACTACCTCACTCCTAAAGGTGAAAGTGGATACCCTAAACACAGGAAGCACAGTTAACTGGGTGACTAAATAATTATTAAAGACAAAAGTTAACTAACTAGGCTATACACAGGTTTCGCCTACCATTTATGGTCGCTTCCTACAGTGCCATCTTGGGTCTTTAGGGTCACTCTGCACAATTTCCCAGGATGTCACATTCTTGTTCTTAGCCTCTTATCTTCTCTTCTGTGTTGATTGTACATCTTTTATCTTGAGCTTAAAATTCTCTGACTTTCAGACTTATTTTCAACTGGACTACTGATTATGTCTTTTTCAAAGTCAATACATATACTTAACTCAGTTTTTTTCCAAATGCTTTATAATTTTTCTACAAATATGCTTTTCTTTGTGACTAGAATCACACTTCATCGAGTTATTTAATCAAGAAATTTAGGGATTATTCGTAATTCTTCCTGCTTTTACTGCTAATATAAACTACCAATGATAGCCTAGTGCTTTCACTCTTGAACTTTCCTTTCCACTCTTAATATTACTTAAACTCAATTTTTACTGTTTATTGGATCACGGCCAAGACTTTCTGATAATAATCTAACCTCCTCAACTCATCCCACTGGTGTCATAAAAATCCTGTTAATAGGTCCTACCACCAATAGCATAAAGCTTAAACATGTTTCATTCAGGGTACATAAGGCTTCTTTCTGATCAAGCTCTCAATACTCTCCCCAGCTTTACACTCTACTTTCTCACACAATTTGAACTGCCAGTTCTCCAGAATGGAAGCACATTCACAGCTCAATGCGCAAGACTTTGAAGCCTTCCTTGAATTTGCAACCCAAATTATTCCTGCCCACCACCTCTTCCTACTCATCTTTCCAGGAAGCATTAGACTTTTCTCCTTTCCATTCTTTTATTTCAAAAATTGTCAGCTTATTTTTATATGCTTTCTGAATGGATTACAACTTACTATGGGAAAGTGATTTGACAACTTTAGCTTTCTCAAGCACTTAAATGAGTATGTAATTATTACAAGAACAAGTGAATCCAAGACTCAGAAATCTGCCTCACCATCTGCTAAGGGTTCTCAAAGAAAGAAAGAATTATGAAATGGTAAGTTCTAAGTGGTACTACTTCACAGTATTTACAAGTTAAAACCCATTTACCTGCTTCTTCTGTTTTCATATTCTGTAGCTCTAACTGGTGTATTTTCTTAAGTTCCTTGATCTTTTCCTCTTGAGCAGAAATAAGCTCCTCTTTAAGACTGCAAAGAGCTTTATCTTTTTCATTTTCCATATATTCACGAACCTGATCCACATGAGTTGAGTAAACCAGAGGGAGGCATATGCGTTGGGCTTCCATCTGTAGCCTTAAATCATTCTTTAGGTGAATATATATGAATATTAGAATGTTTTAAAAAATAACAAAGCAATGTAACTTTTTTCTTTGCATATTCTGAACTACAAAGAAAAAAATACACTAAATTACAGCTTAAAAATTCATATAAAAGAACTAAAGTCTAATTTTTTTTTTTACTGCTACTATTCTAGTATCTTTCTTTAAATTAATATGTATTCATTGTACAGGTTGGGATAAAGTCTATCTTTTTCTCTCATCATCCAGTTGCATCGATCTATTTCTCTTTTTTGAGGAAAGGAACACAATGTTTCCATTATCTCAATTTTATAGTAAAATCTGATACTTGTTATAGCAAGTAGGATTTATCTTTGATTTTTAAAAATAATATTAAATGCCAAAACATGCAAAAAGTAATGTAATAAACATTAAAATACTCATAATCTAAATGAACAAATGCTATCATTTTGTCTTTTTTTCCCTTTCATTCCATTACTCCCACACTCCTCTTTGTTTAGAAAGAAAACACTGCAGATAAAATTCAATCTGTTATGTTCTCATTACCCCTTGCCACCAGTAACCACTATCACAGGTTTTGTACAAATCCAGGCCATTTCTTCTATTACTGCTTCTCATTGTATATATATACATATATGTTTATATATATGTGTATATATATATGTTTGTAGATATATATATCTACAAACATACATTTGTGCATATATATATACACATATTTTATATTTTGTGGATTTACATAAATGGTATAAAATGGTATATATTGTGAAATTTTCTTTTTCATTTAATATGTCTCCCATTTTCCTTTCTCGAAATCAAATGGTTTTCTAATTTTTGGATATTTCAAAAATAATGTAAGAAATCTTATATATACCATCTTAAACAAATGTGCTAATATTTCTCTACTGTAGTAGTTCTCAAGCTTTAAAAGGCATCAGAATCTCTTATTAAAATAGGTTGCTAGACTCTGTCTCAGAGGTTTTGTTTTTTTCTGATTCAGGGGTCCAACCTGTTTTTAAGTGAGGCTGATGCTGCTGGTTCTTCAGAACCATCGAGAAATGTAGGTGTTGGGTCATAGATAAAAGCACATTTTTAATTGTATTAAATTTTACCATCTTTTTTTTTATATAACTGTAGGTTGCACTGCTGTCAGCCGAGTGAGTACTTATCCCCACATTCTCACCATACGTTTTGTCAGACTTATTTCATTGACCTGTATAATCTAAAATGCTTGTATATTGTTGCATATTTTCATGTTTATTAGCCATTTGGTTTCCTATTCTGAGACACATTTATTCATATCTTTTGTTCATTTAAATTTTTTGGACCTCTTTGTATGTTACAGCCTTTATATCTTCTTAATATGCCTTTGTTTTGTTTGCAATATATATGACAAACATCTGGTTGCAGTCCACAAACCTGTTATACGGTACTGTTTGTAAAACAGACACCATACTCACCCTCTAGATCTCCTGCTTATTAAGCTTTAATTTTTAATCTTTATATTGCTACTTGATACATTGTATATTTGTCTTTTTTAATGCCCTTCAAGCCTCTAAAGCTAAACCTTATTCATTATTGCCTATTTTTATTGTTATATCACCATTGTTTAGGACAGTGCCAGGAATGTAGTAGAAGCTGATTAAGTATTATTAAATAAATGCTGATTTTTAGGGACACCTTGGAACATAGTAAAATTTTACACGGATCTGGGTGTGTTTGTTGGACTATTATGTTCCACTGATCTGTTTATCCATTCTAATATGAAACCATATCATCTATTATGATTTTGAAACAAGTCTTCATATCAGACTTAATACATGAATTTTAGGACTGTCTCACTATTCTCAGGTATTTTTACTATTTTACATCAATTTTAGAACTAGTTTTTCAAGGTCCATGTAAAACCCTTTGAGAATTCTGACTGGAGTTACACTGAATGTGGACATCAGCTTGGAGAACACTGGTATTTTTCTTCATATCTTTTCACTATTGATATATGTTGCCACTTAGGTCTTTATGTCCTTCAATGTTTTATAATTTTCTAAACAAAATTTCAAAACATTTTACCTAGGGTTTACAGATTTGCTTAATCTGTTCATATTCTTTCTCATTTCTTATTCTTGTCATATTGCATTGGTTAGAAGCTATAAAACAATGTTGAAAGAGTAAAGTTGACAATGGGTATCCTTGATCTCACATTTTATTTCAATAGGAATGTTTCTAAATAGAAAAGCCACTTGCTAACTGTTTTGATGAAAACCATTATCATGGTTAAGAAATTTCCCTTCTATTCCTGATTTCCTAAGGGTTTTTATATTTAATTGTAAATGAGTTGTTAATTTGGGGGATTTTTTTCCAGCATGTATCAAAATGATATGGATTTTCTCCTGCTATATATAAATGTAGCAGTTCCATAGATTATTCAGAAACTGAACTATTCTTCCATTCATGGGATAATTAGCAAGTGTTTTATTTAGGATTCCTGTCACCACTGAGAGGTCAATCTGTAATTTTATATTCTTGTACCATTCTTCTTAAATCTGCACTTCAGTATCAGGTTCACATAATGAACTGTTCTTCTGACTTTGTTGTTTTCTTTCTTCTCCTCCCATTCTCTTTTTAATCCTATTTTAGTAAGCGATTATACACTTGATCTTTGAATACTGATGAGACCCAACTGTAAAATCTTCTCAGTCTAACAGTTTTGATTAGAGAAGAGGTGAGAGGAGAAATTCTTACTACTTCAAATTCTTTAATGGTTCTGCCTTACTGAAAATTTTCATTTCTGCTTGAGGTAGTATTAGTAACCTATATTCTGCCAGAAACCATCTAGTTTATCTATACATACAAATTTATTGGCAGTTTATTTATAGCATTCATTTCTGATTTATTGTGCCTATATTTATTATTTTCATTCTTCATCTTTTTCCCTCTTGATTATATTCTTGGAGATTTGTCTAATAATGGCAACTTACCAATTTTTTTTTTCAAGTAATAAATCCCCAAACACTACACTCCCTTTTGGTTATTTCAAGTTCCCTTACTTCTGGTCTTAACTTTATTATTTCCTTCTGTCTACTTTCTATGAATGTAGATACTCTGACACTGTTCTACCCTCTTGAATAGCTTAACTTATTTTTAATACTTTTACATTAAACTGATATATTTAAGCCTAAACTCATTTTCTATATGCCACATTACATTCATTCTTCCCTTTTTAAAAATATTCTTGGCTCTTCCTGTGTATTTGCTCTTCCAGGTGAACCATAAACCAATAAAGTCAAATTTTAGTGACTTTTCACTGATAGTTGGATTGGAAATACATAAAGCAAAGTGGCATTTTATAGTATTAAAATTTTTCCACTAAAAATGAGGCTTTTCATTTATTTCAGTCTTGCATTCTCCTTTATTAAAACATTGTAGTAGGCTTATTGTTGTTGTTGTTTATTTTATACAACAGGTAGCCCAGGCTGGCCTTGAACTTGAAATCCTCTTGCCTCAGCTTTCTGTATGCTGGATTACAGACATGTGCCAACACACCTGGTAGAATTAGTTTTACTTAAATTGGGTTTACACATTTCTATGTTAAGTTTTTTCCATACTTATTTTACATTATGGCTTTTCAGGTAATTTGCTTAGATTTTCTTATTTCTTTTTTATTATACAGTGAATTATGAGAATTAACTATCTTACTCTCCATTAATGCCATGTATCTTTTTCTCTTGGAAACCATTAGGACTTACAGAACAATGCTGTACAGCAAATGACAAAAGGTATTCTGTTCCTCTCCCTCTGGTGAAGGTCTATGTTGTTACACTTTTTTTTTAGGACTGGGGTTTAGAATTCAGGGCTTCACATTTGCAAAGCAGGGGCTCTACTGCTTGAGTCACAACTCCAATCCATGTTGCTGTGGCTATTTTGGAGATGGGGTCTTGAGAACTATTTGCCCTGGCTTGCCTCAAACCTCAATACTTTGGATCTCAGCCTCCCAAACAGCTAGGATACAGGTATGAGCCACTGGTGCACGGGTGACTGTTGATTCTTGAAAAGTGGGCTCTGTTTATTTCCCCTTGCATTTATTTATAAAAATTTATTAACTGCCTAATGTGTGCCAGACATTATTCTACGAACTAGGGATTCAGCAGACAAAAATCTTTGCTCTCAAGGAACTGATACTGTAGCAGTTTCTCTTGTAGTTACTAAGTTCCAGTATCTCCTTCAATTCCAATAATTACCTTCAATTTTAAACAGGCACACTTCAATCTATAGCCTTTTCTGGCATAAATAATCAGCACTTATAACATTCCTGCTACTCCTGTCTTCCTTGCATTCCAACAGTGACAAGACTTCTATGATCTTTTTATCTTTTCCTTTCTGTCCACATTTCCTAAGTATATTAAAATAATATGGAACTGTACTCAAAATTACTTTTTTTTTCAGTTGAAACAAAAACTTCTAATGGCCACAACTATTTTGGTTTCAGTGAGACATATCTATTATAGTTATTAAGCTTAGTACCAAGAGCAGGAGTATTTTTTGTGGCCTTTGCATTATTCTAAGCATATTTAGACTGCTCTCAAGTGTTACAGCTGTGTAAGTCACTACTCATTTTCTGGAAGCTTCCATCTGTGTGTGTGGGCCATTTAACACATGCATGCACGCCTTACTCCCTTTCCATCAATAAAGGTTGGTCTTGGTAATCCATGCCTCCAATCTTGTTTTTCTTTACTTTGTGTAGTTAATGCCATGAATAGGTTATCTGACAAGACTGGGTGTGTTCAAGGTGGTATGGCCGTAGACATGAACAGGTTATCTGAATGCCATTTATTTTTAGTAGAGAAAATAAAATTCTTACTGAGGAAAGCTGAACATTTTGACAGCTTCAAAATCAGGTCCTCTCACAATAATGCTTTTTTAAAGATTTAAATGGTGTCTAGCATTTTAGGAGTAATTACCACACATTATACTTTTGAAAACAATTCTAGGTATTTAATATGGTATTAATAGTTAACAATTTCCTGACTTTATTTTAGTTATTAAAAAAACTCTACATTTGATATAGGATCATAAATACGAGCATATGTAAATTAGAAATAAAAACAGAAATCTTTCCAATGGCTTCTTACTTAGGATCTTAGGATAAAATTTAAACTTCCTATAAAGTTTATAAAGGTCTCTTAATATTTGTCTCTTCCCATTTCAAACTCTTTCTCCCTTTTCAACTCTCTCAAACTCAGGCCTTCATTCTCTTCCTCAAAGTCACCCAGGCCTTTACAATTGCTCTAATTTCTATGTGGCAGGCTCCTCCCTGTCATTCAGATGTTAGTTCACAAGACAATTCCTTCAAGAGACCTCTCCTGACAACTACATTAATGATGCCACCACCCATCATTCTCTATCCCATTAGTCTGTTTCATTTCTTCATAGAATTGATCACTATTTCTAACTGCCCTAATTGTTTTCTTATTTATTACCTGCCTCCCTTAATAGAATATATGATCCTTGAGACCAAGAGAGAACCCTTTATCTCTTGTTCACCACTATACTTATACCTGGAAATAGATTCAATATCTGTTGTGTAAATTTAGAAAAACACAAAACTGTAGTTAGCATCATTATATTGCAGATACACACTAGAATTGTCCTATTACTTCTAATATCAGTATCTGACAAATAAGAATTATTGGAAGTAAACCATTATTACTCATTAAATGCATTCTTTAATTCTTTAACTATATTTAGAGTTGATACTGTTTTTTTTTCCCCACTTCAGGTATAATAAGACTCAGAGAACTCTAGGATTTAACATTTTATTTCCCCCAGGGAAATATAATCTCATAACCACCGAAAAACTAAATAGAGCAATTAAAAAAGAAAAAAAGTGTTCACTTATTATTGTGGAATCCTAAAAACTAAAAACAACCTTTGAGATTGCATAATTATTACAATAATTAATAATTTAGAAAGCTGAGATTCTCATTAAATTATACAGTCAAAAAGAAAATGTGAATCCATTAATGTTTTATTGCCTGAGCAGAATATATAACAAATTAATTAAAAGACAGGCAACAATGTTTAAGAAAAAATAGCTAAATGGTAAGTGACAGGCCCAAATGAAAATTACATGAAAGGGTTCGCTTTCTTTTGTAAGGATGTAAATTCATGTTTTATGAAGATGAAAACTTTTTTTAAGAAATAAAATTTTCACATGCAATACTACACATAAATAGGTAAACATACCTGTTCTGATTTAAGTGTCTCAAGTTCTTGCTGGAGTTTATCATTTTCCCATGGCTCAGTGGGCCCAGGCAATGATTCATTTGTTACTGATGGCAAAAACTGTTCTTGCTTGCTTTTCTTTCTAATAGTGATATTTTCAAAACGACTATGATCGTCCAACATTACTTCTGATTCTCTATCAAAATCTTTACTATTTTTAGAAACATGTCCTCCAGAATCCCTGTGTGTCATAGTCATAACTCCATCTTCTAAAGCACTTAATTGAACATCACATGCATTTACATTTTCTGCCCTATTATGGTTAATTATGATTTCTAACTCTTTACATCTCAACAAAACTTGCTCCTTTTCTTGCTTTAAAGATCTAACTTCTTCACTTAGTAAGTTGACCTCACCATGTTTCTGTTTTAACTGTTCAGAAAGATCATACAGTTTCTCTGAAAGTTCTAATTTTTCTCGCTTGGTTACTTCAAGTTTTTCCATAAGCTCTGTTGTATCTTTCTCAACAACCTCACCAATTTCCAATGGCTGAGAGATAAAAGTTTTGTCATCATCAAAGATGGAACTTTTCACTTTCACTATAGTTGGATTTACTCTTTGTAAATGAAGCTGTTCATTAAGTGCTTTAACCTTACTTTGATACTCTAATTCTAGCTTATTTTTACTGTCTTCTAAATCATCTTTCACTTTAAGAAGGCAAGCATACTCTTCTTGCAATTCTTGATAGTTAACCTCAAAGTTTTTTTCAGCAAATGAAAATGTATTCCTTTGCTTTTCAATCTCCTCATTTAGATGAACACATTGTTGTTTGAGGTCCTCATTTTCCTCTGTAAGTATCTGTATTTCTTTTTGCCAGCTACAGTCTTTGGGGTTGGACTTACTAGAATCTGTGAAAATCAATTTTTCTTCTTGGTTAACAGGAGTATACATTTTCAGCATATTTTGAAGGGCTTTCTTCTCATCTTTGAGAATGCTATTTTCTGCTTCAAGTTGTGCGAATTTTTCTTGATGGTCATCCTCGTTTTCCTTCATCTGTTTCTGTAGTAACTCTGTTTTAAGCTGTAATTCCTGAACTTCTTGTTCAAAGGTACCCTTTTCCTTTTCTTCTTGCTTGAGTATTTCAATTTCTTTTTGAAGTTCACTGATTTGAAGAGTCATTTCTTCTGATTTTGAAGTCACAAGGGACTGCTGCAAATCTTTTAGCTTTGAAATTTCCAAAATTAATTGATTCTGTTTAGTTATCAAATTGTCCTTTTCCAACTGCATAGCTTCTATCTTTTGACTCATTTCATTCTGTAAGCCATCAATCTGCTGCTTATAATGAATGCCTAAGTTATCTTTAAGTTTTTCAATACTTACTTGATGTTCAATTTCTAAATCTTCCTTTAGTTTGGAAAGTTCCTCCTCATGACTAAATAAGAGTTGTGTTCTCAGCCTCTCTAATTCAGCTTCTTGTGATTCAGCCATTCTGTCTAACACAGCATCCTTTTCTTTTTCTAACATTTCAAGTTTTATCTTATAATTTGTAACTTCTGCTTCATGTTTTAACTCCAGTTCCTTCCTGCATTCAGATGCAGAAACAATCTCAGCTTTCAAATCTTCCACTGTACTGAGGGACTTATGGGCATCATTCAGCTTACTTTCTTGTTCAGCTACCGTCTGTCTAGCTCTCTGAATTTGGTCTCTTAAAAAGCCCAACTCTTCAATAAGGTCTTCCAGCTGTCTCTGCAGAGCAGACTTTTCTCCTGAAACTACCATTAGTTCTTCCTTGAGTTTTTCCTTTTGTGAATTAGTATCTTGTAATTTTACGTTCAGTTCATTTATTGCCATATTCATTAACTTTACTTGATCTTCATTAACTGAAATATGTAAATATGATTTTAAAGCATTCTCCATTTCTCCCTTATGTTGTATTTTAAGTTCCTCTATCTGTGACATGTGTTGTTTTATTAATTCTTGTTTCATCTGCACTATCTGCTGCCCATACATTTCATCCAGCTCTGCTCGGAGTTGTTCTAACTTTCTTTGTGTTTCTTGTTCCATTCTTTGCACTGTATCAATTTCAAACTGGCTATCTTTATGATTTCTCTTCTGAAGTTCTTCAACTGTCCCCATTAACTGTTTTATTTCTTCAGAACACTGCCTCTCTTTTTGCTTAGAATTAGTCAGCTCCGATTTCATATTTTTTATTTCTAGATTCTTTTGTACAACCTGTTCTTGTAAGTCTCCTAGTAATTTATCAGTAGCTGTTACTTTATCCTTTAACTCAAGAGTTTTTTTTTCTTCTTCTATTATTTTTGTATTTAATGCTTCAATGATTGCCTCTTTTTCATGTATTTCTATTTTATTTGCATTTTCTATTTTTTTATCTTGTTCCTTAAGAAAGAAAATATGAAAATATAAGAACTTCAGGCAATATCTATTGCTTAACTTCATTACCAAAACACAGCCCCAAATTTCCTTTTTACATAGTTCTATGAAAAGTTGGGCCTACCCCCAATTTTTCCCATAACAATGATACCTAGGGACTTGTATACTCACACACTACTTGTGAGCTTACACTACAACAGTTATAGCATTCTTGAGAACAAATATCCCATATACTGCTATGATTAAAATGCTTAATTTAAAACCCCTTGTCTAGCATGTGTGAGGCCATTATGACAGCACTAACAGAAAAAAAAAACCCCAGTCTGATTAAAATATCTCTAAATAAACCATTATATTTCATTTTTCTAATTAACTGATCAAATATTTAGCATTTTTGATAGCTAGTGATAGTACTACATACTCTACTGGATACTCTCAAAGAAAATAAAAAATAAATCCAGGTTCTTTCCAGGGATTCTAGTAACTTGAAGGTATTCTATTAGCATGTGCTATGAAATTAGAAAAACAATAGTAAGGAAAAGATTCCTATGGTCTCCTTTAATGTCATTCCTGGGCTCTTAAGTGGATCAGAAATTTAGGGATAGGTAAGACAGCTACAGTATTTATGGCATGTTACCTTGGCCCTAGACTTTTAGTTAAACAGAAATTTGAAGAAATACTTCTCCCTACTTCTTATTGAGGACTCAATTCTGGAATCGATGCTAAGCTTAGACATACACACCAAGTATACTCATTAGCACAATTATATCAGAATAACAAATCCAGCAGAACCTTGGGCAAAGTTCTGGCTCAGTTACTTAGTTGCTTTGGTAAGTAGTTAAAGGCTGTAATCCCAACCACAAATAAAATCCACAGAATTGATCAAAGTATAAGCAGGTAAGTAAAATTACCTTAAGGGGACAGTAGTCCTTGGCAAACAGGACTTAAAGGCACCTTGAATGAATGTATGAACACATTGAAAGAAAAAATGTTAAAGCCTAGCAAAAGGAAAGGCTCAAAGGGAAACCTTGGCCCGACCCATTCAAGTACACCCCACATAGAAGGACCAAGGTACCATCAGCCTTCAAGTATTCTGGTTGCTCTAGAAAAACTATGCCTAATGTTGAAAGCAAAACTGGGAATTGTTGCAAACAACATTTAAGAATTTCAGTGTATAGGTAGGAACACTACTGAGATGGATACATCAGGTTATCTCAGTAGAATGCCACTCAACATCTGATTCCTCCAACATCCCTTAATTTTATGCTCATTAAACAACTTTTAAAATTACTATTTGGCTTTTTAAATTCACTTGTACATGGAAAGAAATTAAAATCCAATCAATCTGAAAAATAAGTGTTCTTAGTTCTCATTGTAAATAAATTTTCTTATATTTAGGGTTTCTTTTTTTTTTTTGGCAGTACTGGGATTTGAACTCAGGATCTCTTGCTTGCTAGGCAGGGGCTCTGCCACTTGAGCCATGCACCCCCAGCAGTTTTTGCTTTAGTTTGTTTTTCAAACAGTGATCATCAGACAGTGATCCTCCCACCTCCATCTCCTGAGTAACTGGGATTACAGCAGTGTACCACCATGTCTGGTCTGTTTTTTGAGACAGGGTCTTGCTAATTTTTTTTTGCCTAAGCTGGTCTTGAACTGTTATCTTCCTATCTCTGCCTCTCATGCAGCTTGTAGTCAAGCTTTAAATAGCCTCTTGAATTTGGAAAATCTGAGTTCACCTCTGATATAGTTGAAGTCTCAGTTGACAGAAAAAAAGACTTCTGAGCCTACAAATCAAAGGCCAAGAGATTATGCATTATATAAGTTAACCAAGGCAATGAATGATATCCTGAACAGTCTCTTGATCAAAGTTCTATCAGGTTTTGTCTTGGTGTCACATATCCCATTCAATGTCACCAAATGTTATTACCACACGCTATGTTTTCTTACTTTAATTTCTGCACTACACTATGGCATTAGTTAATTAGGTTAATCACTTAATCCTGGCATTTCCATCTGTACAATTCAGTATTATTTCCTCTATCTCAAAGAATGTGTTTGAGGCTAAAATAAATATATTAACATATTTGATTCTTACTGTGCTATATACAGATATGATTATAAATAAGAAAGAAATCTGTAAGGTATTTGGAACCTATAAAAAAGTAATCAATACATGATAGTCACTCTCAAATTGTTAAATAACTAGTTTTGAAAAATGTCAACATTGCTATAAAAGTTATTAACATTTTTACTTCCTTTTTTCTTTTTTTCAGAATGAGGTTTGAATTCAGCACCTCACACTTGCTAGGCAGGTGTTTCTTACCACTTGAGCCACTCCACCATCCCACTTCTTGACTTTATGGTGGAGTCCCCTCATAAAACATGTGATAAAATTATATATAGTAACAATTCATTCAACTATTAAGTACTACTGCTTATTTCAAAGAACATGGTTTTAAATCACTAATTCTGATGACCCTGTGACTGGAGATACAATCCTTCTATTTTTGGAAACATACGTGAGAGAGTGGGAAACAAGACACTTCCTGTTTGCAACTACTGTACCATGGGAAGTTTAGAGGATTTGAATGAGAAAGAACCTTTGACCCCAACTGTCTAGGGAACCAAAACATTTTCAACTGTGACCCTACTGTCTTAGTTCCTTAGCTGCTCTGATAGAACTACTCAAAAGAATTTAAAAAGAGAGAGAGAGAAATTAGGCTAGGTGCAGTGGCTCACACTTGTAATTCCAGTTACTTGAGAGGCAGAAATGAGGATCAACGTTTGAAGCCAGTCTTGGCTAAAAGTGAGCAAGCCCTCATTTCAATAAATGATCTGGGCAAGGTGGCAAATATTTGTCATCCCAGCTATGTGGGAGGCAGTAGGTAGGAGGATTATGGATTGAGGCCAGTTCTGGACAAAAACTGTGAGCCCCTTTCTGAAAAATAACTACGGCAGAAAGGGCTGGAGGTATGGCTCAAGTGGTAAAGCATCTGACTAGCAAATGTGAGGCTCTGAGTTCAAACCCTAGTACCTCCAGAGAGAGAGAGAGAGAGAAAGAGATAAAGATATATATGTAATTAAAGAGTTTTGAGTATGCTTGCCAACATTCAAATAAACAAAGGCTATTCCTCATACTAAAATAAATTTCTTGAATTTTAAATAATCTCAAGTCATCCCACCTACTAAATATAATAAATACAATATCCAGGCACTTCTAACCTAGACCTAGACTATCTTTCTAATCTTATTCCCTGGGAAGACTCATTTTCAAAGGCTACTGCTTTCTAGACAAATTATTTTTGCTTCCTCTACATTTTCAACACGTTTCGGCCTGGATCATATCTACTCCACCCTGTCTAAAATGTCCCACTCATCTCTAATAGCTGAGATTTGTAATTTACTCAGTCATTAATCAAAGAAGTACTAACTAGATAATGTGTTCTGTACATTATGACAATTTCTGGGGAAAAATATAATCAACAAGAGATTATTCCAATTTACACATTTATTTCAAATATCATCTCCCTGCTAAAGCCTGAATCTCTTCTCTCATGAAGCCAGATCCACTCAGAACTTTCAAAACACCTTTCTACCTACACTTATTTTGTGGGTGCATGGCATAACTCAATTATTTTGAGGCTGAATGGCTTCAATGAGAAAAAGGGCATATTGTAAGCATCATTATATGTCTTACAAGGGTCTGCTACAACACAGATGTTCTATGGATATCTATGCAATTTTTAAATTACCTTAGTTGTAAACAGTGCCCTTTTTGTAATTTCACTGTCTTAAATTTGTATATTTTCTATTCTTCAAAGAGAAATCTCTACACTCAGACAAACACAGTTTAAAATCTGGCTCTCCCAACTCATTACCTGACACTGGACAATTTCCTTCATCTTGCCTCATCTTAGTGTCCTCATTTATAAAATGAAGGTAATAATGGTTCTATTTCACAAGGTTGTAGTGATGATTCAGTGTGCTAGTTTATGTAAGATGCTATGAATACTGCCCGTTATTGAGCAAGTACTTAATAAATGCTAGCTAATACTTTTATTATTATCCAAACAGTATTTCTCAACTTCTTATAGAAGAATCTTCTAAATTTATAAAACATTCTGTAGGGCTGGAGGCATGGCTTAAGCAGTAGGTACCTGCCTTGCAAGCACAAAGCACTGAATTCAAACCCCATTACCACCAAAAAAAAAAAGTAATGCATTCCATGCACTACCCATACTCAATATTCACAAATTCTATGTTTGCAAATCTGCCTAACTGCTAAAATTTATTTGCAACCCCAAAGTCAACAATGATTGTGCTTTCAGAATCATTTTCAGATGTGCAGAGTAGAATAAAGTTTGAATTACTGGACACCTGTTTTCAGCTGTGGTCAAACAAGGTAACTACACTGCCTTGTTTCCAGAGAGAACCAGAGGATGCAGCCGGTAGAGGGCAGTGTAGTCAGTATAAGAAGCTCTGACCCTGGACCAATTGGACAGGTTTTGAATTGCAACTCCTGCAACCTGTTAGTGGGAAAGCTTGCAGTAGATGACTTCTGAATTTTGAAAATTTCTTTTGAAAAACAAGAAAAGTAGACCCTACCAGGATATTCTTCTTAGGATTTGAATTTATAATCCATAATCCCACCCACACAGGAGCACTTATTTGCTAAGTAAGTTTCCAATAACTAGAACATAACCTATGTGAGTAAAGAGAATCAAATCATTCAGTTTTTCTAACTGAAATCCATAAAATTTCATTTTGTTCAGGAAATACTTTCAGAATTTTAAGAATCATGGCTAAAATAAGTGGAAATACTTTTAGATTGCAAAAAAAAAAAAGGCAGAAATTCTACTTATAAATTTAGATTCTCCTGAGAATTCACTTTAACACATTGATCACATTGAAGGAACACAATGAATAGTACTGCATTAACTGAGATTTCTAATTGCTTTAGAAATAAATTATTTTACATACTCAAGGAGTTTATCTTAATTATGAAATTTTATATTATGTGCATAAAACATAAAATAACACAATACAAAAAATACATTCATTAATTTTTTCCCTCAGTCCTGGGGTTTGAACTCAGGGCCTCACACTTGCTAAGCGGACGCTCTGACACTTGAGCCACTCCATTAGCTCTGTTCATTTGTGCTGGGTATTTTTGAGAGAAGGTCTCAGGAACTATTTGCCTAGGTTGGCCTTAAACCATGATCCTCCTGATTTCTGCCTCCTAAGTAGGTAGGATTACAGGTGTGAGCCACCAGCACCTGGCCCATAAAAAACTTTAAATTACAAAGCTGCTACAAGCTGGCTGACTTTCTCTTCAAATAAACATACCATTTCATATACTTTAATTTTCTCTTGCAAAAAACTAATTTGCATTTTGAAGTCTTCCTTCTTTTTGTGATAATCTTCTAACAGATGGTCTTGTTCTTCCAGCTGTTGTTGATGAGTGAGGATCTGTTGTTTGGCTTGTAGTAAATCTGCAGCTGTGCTACTATGAGTGCTGTTTCTCAGAGTTTCACTAGCCTGTAACTTAAAAATAGAAAGGAACCTCAAAATATCAAATTCTGGAATGATTATGTTAGAGAACAGAGTCATTCTTATCAGGCTGATTGAGATTTTTGTAGAATCTTTTAGGGCATCACTCAGTTCACACTAGTTCTCTGGGAATTCAGCTTACTTTATAGGCTTGAGATTTAAGCAACAGGCTGTCATGACTGACTAAGCCAAAAAAATTATCTCTCTCATGATAAAGAAGAGAAAGTAGGTCTAGTAAGGGAAACGGGACTGAGACAGACATTCAGTAAGAAGGAGGGACTGAAAAAGAGTACCCCCTGGATTCCCAGTGACTTTCTGGACCCTAGTTCCAATTTTCTTCGAAGGCCTGATTTTGTTTTTGCAAGTCAAGCCTTGTACTTTAAACTGTTCCCTTCGGCTTAAGCTATTTTGGATTGTTTTCTGTTACTTGCTATCAGAAACCCTGATTAATGCAATAAGATTCCTGTGGCTATAACTAAAAGTAAGGGAATATACTCAGTCTAGTTACCATTTTTAGAACCTAACTAAAATAAAACCATACCAGAGTTGGCAAAAGTTAATTTCTACAAAAATCTTAGTCAGCCTGGTAAGATTTTGTAGGATTTCAAAACAGAGATAGGGAAGAAGTACAAAGAAAGTAACAGCAGGAAACCTCTTAGTAAGTATGAGTTAAATTTTTGCTTAACATACAATACATATTCGCTAACTTTTCTAATATAATACAATAAGCAAATGGCTTTGCAACAAATTTAAATTTGTTCTAGAAAGTGAAAAAATTTAATTCATTACTAAAAAATCTAGTAAATCTTGTTCTACTAATACTTACATGCTGGAATTGAATCTGTAATTTTTGACTTTGTTCTGTCAACTCTAGAAATTCTCTCATTGTCTCATCCTTTTCTCTTCTTGCTTGTTGTAAATTAGCAGTAAGCTGTGTTATGATGCCATCTCTTTGTTTAATGGCAGCTTCAAATTCTTGTAACTAAAGGAAACCAGTAAAAAGATTAGGTGCTGGGCTTACTTTTTCAAAACAAAATTTATTATTGTTTTTCAAAAATATGAGACTCAAAACACATTGGTGGAATTCTTTCAATTTTTAAGCAACCTTCCATATTTGAAGGTAACTGGCTTCTCACAATTTGTTTCCACATCAATTTTTAAAAATTTTATCTGCCTAAGGAAAAAAATACATTTGGCCCAGCTTTTCTATACATCTACTTCTAGAAGAACAAGTGCCTTTACATTTTAGGGTGCTCCAATCTGTTCCTAGACAATACTAATAGGTTTAATCCCAACTTATTTGTGAAAAGGCTGAAACCGAAGTATGTTCTCTGAAACCTTCCTCAATATTTGATTTCATCTTGATCTCCTAACTACCTGGTCTGGACAACAGATGTCCTTTAACTACAGAGAGCACAATCAAGGACTCACTGACATTCTTGATAGGTTTAAGTCATAATTTTTTTGCAGTTTTGCCATAAGTTAGAAAAACATCTGTCCTACGGATTTCTTTCTGGCTATCTTGCAATATTAAATAAAAGAAGTCCATAAGCTGGGCCCTGGTGCCTCACACCTGTAATCCTAACTACTCAGGAGGCAGAGATCAGGAGGACTGTGGTTCAAAGCCAGCCCAGGCAAATAATTCATAAGACCCTATCTTGAAAATACTCATCACAAAAAAGGGCTGGCAGAGTGGTTCAAGGTGAAGGCCCTGAGTTCAAGACCCAGTACTGCAAAAAAAAAAAAAAAAAAAAAAGTCCAAATATTACCTGTTAGTGCAATCCTAGTCTCAAATGGGATGGTTTATATTATGTCCAAGCACAAAAATTATGAGATGACCATAAATTACCCTTTAAGACCCCATTTTAAAGAGTGTACATATATTATCATTCAAATTTCCTGTTTTTGTTTTTTGAGTAGGGAACCAAAAGCCATAGAAGTAAACGTACCTGCTGCAGTCCTTCAGTCCCACAGGTGGCCCTCATTTCTTCCAGTTCTCTGTTTAGCTCTTCAATCTCATGCTGTTTGCCAGCCAATTCATTTTCCATCATCTCTATGTGGGTCTGACTGTACTGTGCTCCTTGTTCAGAATAAGAATCATCAACGCCAAATTCTTCTTCCTAAATAAACCCAAGGTTTTTAATAATTCACTACTAGCAACTTTCCTCAGGGAGAAAGATTCAAATATTGAATTCCATAGCAAAGTCCACTTTAAAAACACCCTCGTCTCCTGGAAGTTTACTAGTATGACAACCTACTTTTGTTTATGTGATATATACTTTAAGAGCATAAACAGGACAGCAGCAAATTTTGTAACAATGGAGTGTTACAGATAAACATTTGTTTTGTTAAACATTAAAAGCACTGAAAAATCACAAACAGAAAGAAATACATGCAGGAAAAAGCTCTGTTAGTAAGCCAGATGGTTTAAAATAATACAAAACATTAGTACTGTGAGTTGTTTAAATACTGTACCCTTAATAAATTTGTAGGCTTTCCTGTTTTCATCACAAAACTGCAACCATTTACCTGTATAAAAACAATTTCCTGATACATTATGATCTTAAACTGAATTTAATTTATCTAACAATAACATTTCTATTACCTGTGTTTATTTGTCTTTTATGATTAGGGAAAATGTCTCATTGGTAAAAAAAGATATGCTGATTAAATTTAATTGTAGTATCCAAAAGACATCACAATCATTTAAAATGCCAATCACTTCTCAAACACCTGAGTGCTTACAATGCAAAACACACCATTCTATAGATTTTCATTTAAATTAAAGTTTTAACTAAGTGTATTTTCTATTCAGTCTTTAGAAGGATAACTATAAACCTCAAGTTACTAGATCCTTTTCAACAAAATCCTTCCTTAAAATCATTTAAATAATTGTTTTTTCATCAAGCCCTGTTCATTTTCAAGTAAAACCATTTGCTGATATAAATTTCTTGAAGGCTGATAGGCAAACCAACTGGAATGAAAGAGAGAGAAAAAAAGACACTCCCCAACTCCCACCTAAGAACTTTCCTTTGGGGCTAGCTAGTACTACTAATCTTTATTCCAACCAGATACATGTGGAGGGCTTGGGGATTTTTTAAAATACATCATCATCTGTGTTTATCACAGGTATTTTGTGGTAGGAGAAAGAAGAATAACAGAACTTATGTCTCCAGATTTTACCTCATGAGAAATTAATTTCAGGTCAGTTAATTCACATAATAATTCCCTCTTTCCCACTAACATTACGGAAAACAACTCCATCCTTGCATGTATCTTAATTAGTCACAATTCTATATAAACAGAATCTAAAATAATGAAGTTGTTACTGTAGAAATACACAGCTAGGATTAGGATTAGATCTGCATGAGCCATACTTTAAAAGGTGAAAATCCTGATCAAGAGTTTTTTCCAGTCAGGTGCCAGTGGCTCATGCCATAATCCTAGCTACTCTGGAGGCAGAGATCAGGAGGATCGCAGTTTGAAACTAGCCTGGGCAGAGTTTGCAAGACCCTATCTTGAAAAAACCCATCACAAAAAAGGGCTGATGTTAAAAAGGGGCTTAAGGTGTTAAAAAAAAAAGTTTTAATCAGAGTTTAATTATCTTAATTATTTTCCATTTATCCTAAGGGTAATTCTTGGAAGAAAAAAAAAAGCCAAAAGAAAACAAAATTTTTATAATAACACATTATAATAACTGGTGAAAATTATTAGAAGACAGGAGTGCTAACCCTATTAAGATTATTAATATAATTTATAACACTTAAGTTATATTTCATTTCAATTTCTTTTTCAACTGCTAAATTTTAATTACATTTCTTGATTCAGAGACAATGCATTCTGATTTTAGCAGATTAAAATTTTTACTTTAGAGTAACAGTGAAATAAAATGGGTGTTTACAAATATCTTCAAACATCACATTTAGCAAAGGACAGTCTTTAAATTATCTTATTATGTATTGTTGTCTACTTATAATAAATTGAATCTAATACCTTCCATCCAATGTTCAGTCTAATTCCTTAAAGAGGAACTAAATTAAAGATTTAGTTAAGCAAACTTTATACTGTCCCACAATGGGGTGACCAGGGTTGACCTTCAGGTGCTGTTAGGCCATCATGTAGCCCATTATAGAGCTGTCTCAAAGTGTCTGAGTCTTCATGATTCACTCCGTATTGGCTGCCAGACACAGATGATAGTCACAATGCAGCAAGGTGAAGACATAAGTGTGCTGGCAATAATTACCTTCTCAATCTTCTTATCCAACATTTCTTTCATGAGCTTGCAGAAGATCTCAAACTTCACCTTGCTCTCCTTTACTTTCTTCTCCTCATCTTTGGGTAGCTCTAGGCCTTTCTTGTAACTGAGTTCAAGCTCTTCCCATCAATTCCTTGAGTTGCTTCATGCAGTAGTTATCAAATAGGCTCATTAGTCACACATACTACCTCAAAGCCTTGATTCACAAAAGCAGAGTTGGCTGGCTGCAACTTGCTCTCACCATTAAGTAGCAGATGGATTTGTGTCTCCTCATGCAAGAGACATACTCTGACAAGCCAGGTGTAGTGGCTTACACCTAGTCATTCAGGAGGTAGAGATCAAGAGGATCACAGTTCAAGACCAGCCCAGACAAAAAGTTTGCAAGATTCCTTCTCAATCTCTATCAATGAAAGCTGGCTGTAGTAGCATGTGCCTGTCACCTCAGCTATATGGGAAACATAAATACGATCACAGTCTAGGCCAAGTGGGGTATAAATTCAAGATTCAACTCAAAAAATACTTACAGAAAAGACAGACAGACAGACAGACATACACACACAGAGAAGCCATCTCATTTCCAGACTGCAAAGCTCAGAAAGGTGTCTCCAGCTACTAGAATCCTCATGGATTTCCAAGTCTCAGATTCTTAGAGAATGCCTCACAGAATTTCAGAGTTCTCTTCATCTTCCACCAGCTCTGACAAGAGTTTAAGGCACTTCTTAACAATGTTTTTGTGAATGACTTTCAAGAGTTTGCTCTCCAGGAGCATTTCTCAGGTGATGTTTAGGGGCAGGCCCTCAGAGTCAACCAAACCATAAATAAAGGTAAGGTACTCTCAACTCAACACAGCTGTCCATGATGACCACATGAGGGGACAGAATTTGATGCTGTTGTTTTTACTCCTTGTTCACAAAGAGGTCAAAAGGAGCCTGTCAAGGGATGAACAACAATGCCCTGAATTCCAACTGTCCTTCTACAGAGAACTGCTTAACTGCCATGTGATCGTCCCAGTCATTAGTGAGGCTCTTGTAGAATTCTCCATAGCTTCCTGAGTGACACAGTCAGGGTTTTCGACCCAAATGGGCTTGGTCTTGTTCAATTCTTCCTGATCAAAATAATTTTCCTTAATCTTGGTTTTCTTTTTTTTCAATCCTTACTGCTGTCAGCCTCCTCATCTGAGTCTACATCTTCAATCCTGGGCTTCTCCCCATCATACTTCTCTTCCTGTACCTCATTATCACTGATTTCCTTCTCTCGTTCCTTCTCCAAATAAAGGGTAATGGGACAGCCTATGAACTATAAGTGCTCCTTCACCTCCTTTTTGACTTGCTTCTCTTCTATGTACTCTGTTTTTTGTTTGTTTTTGGTGGTACTGGCCAAAAATATATACATATATATGTAAATATTTATATATTATGTGTATATTTTTTGGTGGTACTAGGCTTTGAACTCAGGGCCTTGTGCTTGCTAGGCAGTTGCTCTACAACTCAAGCCATGTCCTCAGCCCTTTAGCTACTTTAGCTGTTTTTCAGAGAGGGTCTTGCTTATTGCCAGGTTAGCCTCAGGCCATGATCTTCCTACCTGTCTCCTGCATAGCTGGAATCAAGAGGCTCATGCCACAATACCCAGTTTATTTGTTGAGATAAGATTTTGCTAATTTTTGTCCTGGGCTAGCCTTAAACAGTGATCTTCCCAAACTCTTCCTCCCAAGTAGCTGGGATTACAGGCATGAGCCACTCACCTAGCCTCTGGTATTCTTTAAGGTGGAGGATCACCTAGCCAATTGGGCTCACTGTAACTGGCATATACAGTGAAGGATTCTCAACAGAAGACCCTCAAGCATACTATTCATCATCATTATGCTTTGTGATTACAACTACTTTCACTGCCACCAGAAAGGCAGAATAAAAGCCAACATCAAATTTCCTAGTCATGGAAATATCTGCACCAGCCTGAAGAGCCTCCACATATGCTTTAGTACCATACTTGGCAATGTTTCCCAAATTATATGAGATCAGCCTTGGTCATATCAATGCCTGTATCCCACAAAGCCAGACTGCATTCCTGAGGGTTGATGAAGATGTCAATTTTCAGCTCTTTATCATTGTCTAACAGGAAGTGTGTGTTTGGCTCTCATTGCAAACCTTGTCCAAAGCATCAGAATTTTTAGAGGTCAACTCCAGAAGAAAATTCTCCTAGCTGAAATGGAAGGTACTGATGATAAGTGATGTAAGATGTTTTTGCCAGAACATCTCCTCCTTTGCATGGTATGCTTCTTCAGCCATTTTGAATGAAAGGCGCTGCAAGTACCAGAGAGCAGAGTGGACCAGGACTGTGTCTGATTCACATGTGGCACTCAGGCTGTGCAAGGGTGACTCAAACTGTATCTTTTTCAATCTTTTTTAAGATTGAAAAAAAAGATATTCAAGATTTTCCCAAACTCTAAGGCAGTGAATTAATATAGTTTTTGTGATCATCAAATAACAAACAGGTATCACAGGATATGTCTTTTTGTAAGACTATCTTTCTTGAAACTTGTTTGAAAAGCATACATATGTGTATATGTATATATTTATTCATGTATATAACCACATATATGTAACTACATTATGTCTACATATGAAATTATATATATTTCTTACTGTAAACAAGTATGATAGCTATTCTAAATTTTATCTGCAATGCTTATATAATGCTTTGAAATACGTATTTACTAGGTATCATAAAGATATAACTTCAATACATTTTTGGACCTTATAATAATCCCCATCAGCCTAATTTTAAAATTTGAGGCAAACAGTGTCTTACTATAACAAGAATTTCCAATATTACCACTTGTTGAAGTCTAACTTTTCGAATCAAGTTAATAGAATTAAATTATGCTCTGTATCCCAATGGAAGGAAATGACTATAAATGTTGACTAAATTTCATGGGTACATATAGTATGGTCTCACTTATAGCCAACTGGCATATAACAAAATTTCACTTTGGTATAAAGAAAAAATGAACTTTGTGGAGTTTGGGTGACTCAAAAATATAGGTAGTTCAGGTGCCAAAGCATCTGAAACTTCCAGTCAAGAAAGACAAAACAGTGTTTTCATAAATAAGTCTTAAAGTCACAAGAGCAGATTCTGAATGGCAAGTGTTGATTTTAAATCAAGATACTTCCCATAATGGCAACTTTACATAGCATAAATCAGATACCAATTTATCTATTTAAACTTGGTTAATAATTTTTCTGATCAGACTAAGTATATTCTCAGCTTTTAGACATCAAACTTCTAAATGTCAAAGTTTTTGTTCCCGTATATAAAGCTGTCATAAGTTAAATGAAGAACATAAAGGGTTTTGACGTTTACAATAAATTGAGACTTATGGAATGCATTAAGTTGCTGAAGCATTCAGAGTAAGGAATAGTTTTTCTATGTCCTCTAACTCTGGACCAAAGAAATGACAATTATATCTAAAAGAGTAAGATATCAAAATGATGTATATTTATTACCAATATAAAAGGAAGATATTTCCTAAAGAGGACAATGCCTATTTTATAGTTTATCACCTAAAATAATTATGAATGTCAAAAAACTTTCATATGGTTAACAAGAATTTGAGCATTTGTAAAAAGCTTTACTTAAAACAAAATATACTATATTATAAAATTTTTACTGTGCTAAATAATGATACCTTGTAATGGTCATATATTCTAGAAACCCAATATCAAGCATTTTCCCAGAAACTAAAACAGTACTTCTATCTAATATAGGACCATGCTATTCAACAAGTAAAAGTTCATCTAAAAATCTGAGAAAAAAGTCAGGCACCACTGGCTCACACCTATAATCCTAGCTACTTGGGAAGCTGAGAAAGGACTGATCACAGTTTGAGGCCCCCAGGCAAAGAGTTAGTGAGACTCCAACTCAAACAATAGCTGGGCATGGTGGTACATACTTGTCATTTCAAGGTAGGGAGGAGGCTGAGATTCAGAGGATAAGGGTTCCAAGCCAGCCCAGGCATAAAAGTTCTTGAGACCACATCTCAATGGAAAAAGGCTGGGTGTAGTGGTGTGTACCTATCATCTCAAGTTATAGTGGAAAGTGTAAAATATGAAGATTTCAGTCCAGGTTGGCCTCAGCAAAAAGTGAGACACTATCTGCAAAATAACCAGGACAACAAGGGTTGGCAGCAGGTGGTCAAATGTTTCCCTAGCAAGCGCAAAGCCCTGAGTTCAAACACCAGTGATGGGAAAAAAAAAAAAAAAAGAGAAAGAACAGTAAAACATACTGTAGGTTTTCTAGCCATACAAAAGTAACTGTTATTTTTTTATTTTTATAAAAGTACAACAGAAGCATGTAAATTTATATGAAATAAAGTAGAAAAAATATAAAATATGATTTTGCTTATGACATTTGACATTATGTTAGTCTTACCTCTGAACTATAATCATCTGCTGTGGTTGAAATTTCACTTTCCGGCTAAAACAAAATAAAAAACCAGTTACAATTATGACTTTTTTTTAAACTGCTAAATATTGCTTATTCTGTTCCCCATTCCCAATCTAGTATGAGACTCACAGAGTTTCTCCCTTTTCATTAAACAAACGTTAATTGTCACTGTTGACTTTCTTATCGAAACCTATGGAAATGTTATTCAACATCTAAGATCAAGATCCAAGTTAGCCTTCTCCATGAAGTAGTAACTGATACCAGAAATAGAAATAAGCTTGTCTCTATTCTGAAATTCTACAACAATGGTTCTTAAGTAATGAGGACGTTATTTATATCAAACATGTACCATAGTCAATGGTAAGAGTATATTATGTATTACAAACTGGAATAGAAAATAAAATGGTTAACAAGATAGTTATTGCATTCAAAATGCTAAAACTATAGTGAAGAACCCAAATATTTGCTCTGCATCAAAGAAAGTATATCCTCAAACCAAATTATAAACAAGATTGCCACATTGTATTATTTTAAATGTCCAGTTAAAAAAATACAAGACACAAGAAAAAGAAAACTATGGCCTGTATGCAAGAAAAATGGTCTATAAACAGAAATTGTCCCTATGGAAATACGGATATTGAATTTACTAGACAAAGACTTAAAATTGGTTATTTTAAACACTGTTTATCAAATAACTAAACAAAATAACATCTAAAAAAACTATAAAGAAAATTATAAGAACTATGCCACACCAAACAGAAAGGAATTTTAAGAGAACCAAAGAGAAGTTCTGCAGTTGATAAGAAAAATAACAAATTGAAAACAATCACAAATGAAAAAGTCACTAAATAACTCAAGAGCAGATCTAAACAAGAAGAAAGAATAACCAAGCTTCAAATTATGTCAATTGAAATTATTCAGTATGAAGACTAGGAAAAAGATCACACGTAAAGCCATTAAGATAAAAAATTTTTTAAATGTTTGAAATTATTTCTTTTCTAATATCTTTTTTCAGTACTAAAAGTTTTTGTGTTATTGTCACCTCAATAGATACAGAAAAAGCATTTAACAAAATTCAACACTGCTCCATGACAAAAATACTCAATGTGGGCTGAGGGTGTAGTTCAGTGGTAGAGTACTTGCTTAGCATGCCCAAGACTCTGGATTTCATCCCTAGCACAGCAAAAAATTAAAATAGAAAGATAGATACATAACAAACTCTATGAATCAGGAAGAAAGGAAGTTCCCCAATCTGGTAAAGGGCACCTACAAAAAACTCAATGTATATATTCTACACTATTCTGTAAGTTAATAGAATACTCGAGGTAAAAAACTGATGTCTGCTCTCACCACTTTTTTCAAAATTAACAACTTTGTGTATCAAAGATACTATAAGGAAAGTAAGTGCTAAAAGCATGGCTCAAGTGGAGGAACACTTGCAGAGCAAGTGGGAGGCCCTGGATTCAATCCCTAGTTCCCGAAACAAACAAACAAAACACTATAGAGTAAGATTATATATCTAAGAATACAGCTGCTCTTCATTACTCAGATCCTGTAGTTTTGAATTCACCTCCTCAATAAAATTTATTTGTAACCCCCAAATCAATAGTCACAGCACTTACATGGTCATTTGCGGACATGAGCAGAACAGTGAAAAATTGAATCACTTAAGACAGGGATTCCTAAATGACACAGAACAGGCAACACTTCGCCTTCTTGTTTCAACTTTCATAATGTAAACTATTGTTCAGGATCTATGTAGTGGCATATTTTTCACATTTTTATGCATTTTATTGATTATTTCACTGTGAAAAATGACCCCAAGTGTAATGTTGAAGTGTTATCTAGTGCTTCTAAGAGGAGGAAAGTTGTGATGTGCCTTATGGAGAAAATGTGTGTTAGATAAGCACGGTTTAGGCACAAGTCATACTGTTTATGTGTGTTTCTGATTCAAGGTCTCCAACTTATATATATATATATGGACAATTCAGTACATACGTATTATTGATTCATTAACCACAGTTCACTGTTACTGAATCAACAACATATACTAATAAAGGGTCTTGAAACAGAAACATACATAAAACAAGATTATTTATCAATTGACAAATTGACTAGTGGCTCACAGGAACCTAAATCTAATTTTTCCTAGGAACAATGGTTCAGTAGTCACTAATTCAGCATTAATAGCAACTTTATAGAATTCAGCTATGGAAGATGACAGGAATTGCCTGTATTTGAATGAATAATTATTACATACCAAATATAGTTACATTTCCAGGGTTCCATCCCTCCACACGTGTGCGCATGCGCGCACGTGTGTGTTTGACGCAAAGTTTCCCTGTGCATCTTAGACTGGCTTCAAACTAGTGAGCCTCATGCCTAACCTTCCCAAAGTGCTGGGATTAAAGGCATGCACTACCACACCCAGCTCTCCAGCCTTCTTTTTACACTGTATTCTTATTCTTTTGAGAGGACTCTCTCATTCTTATCATGAACAGTATATCTCTATTACTGCTACCTGACTCTTGAATAAAGCTCAAATTACTGTCTATCACAATGTTGCTGTTTCCACATAAATATGCCATAGCATAATCATCTTCCCTGTCCAATACTCATCTTCCTAAGCAACTCACTCTTCTCTGGCCTGATCTCGGTTAATGGCTCAACCATCTCAATGCACTCTTAACTTCCCTTCATCTGCCCCAGAAAGTTACATCATTAAGCAGAGTAGGGGTTATTGGTAGAATTAACATTCACTGAGCACCTAGTATGGGTCATGGGCCAGGTGCCATCTCCAGATCTTCACCATTGCCACCACCCTATTCCATCACTTTGTGATCCATTTAAAACCAAACTACCTATGGTTTCCAGTTCATAGAACAGTCTTTGCAAATGCTGTTTCTTCTGCACAGAGAGTACTTTCCCCACTTTTTCCCTCTAGCTAACTTCAACCCATACTTAATACTCAGTTCTATTGCCCTTTCCAAGAAATCTTCCCAAATAACATACATAAGGGACTTGGGCATTCCCTATGGTCTACGGAGTACCATGTGCATTGTTGCTAGCATAGCTCTGCTGCACATATTTACATCAGCCTTCCCCAGTAAACTCACTTTACTAAAGGGCATAGACTGTCACACTGATCTTTGTATTGCTGGTAATACAAACGATTGCTTTGTAATCCTTGGTGTACTACAGTTACTCAATAAATGTTTATTGAATGAAACTCACAATAGCACTCTCAGAGGTTACTAAATACTTCAGTTCTAGTTGTTTAGTCACTAGATTACTGAAATTTACAAAAATCATGATTAAATTGCATGGGCTACCAATGACTGTTTTCATTGCAACTACTGTCTATTTAGAACTATATGATTTAGAACTGACTGCATGACTTAACTGGTAAAGCACCTACCTAGCAAGCGCAAAGCCTGAGTTAAAACCCTAGTACTACCAAAACAAAACAAAGCAAACCTAGAACTATCTGGTTTAAACACCTGGATAAATACTTACTTCAACAGAGAAGACCTGGTCATGCTTGATCATTTCTTCACTGTGCAGAGTTCTCGCTACTGCAGGATCAGGAGTCACGGGTGATTCTACCCCCTGAGAACTATTTACGTACATCTCATTGCTCTGATCAATACACAAGCCATGCATGTCATGTTTACAGCTTGAGGTTTTTCTTTTTTTTTTCTGCTTCTTGGGAGGATTCTGCCCATCAGATTGAGCTTTTCTTAGTCGAAACTGGGCAAGCTACAGAAACAAAGAAAAGTGCCATTATCATCAAAGAATTTTTCTTTATTGCCATTAAGAATAAAGTAGCTTTGGGGTCACTTTCTTTAAAAGACCAAGCTATCACTAAAGAAAAATACTGACAAAATAAATAACTACTGGACTGTAAAGAAACTAGGTATTTCTGAATGAGAAGTAAAAATTAAAATGTAATTTGTGAAATTAGCTAAGGTAGGTGGAATAAGAGGAAACAGGTGCTCAAATTCATTGTGTGGTAAGGTAAGAGTATAATCTCTGGATTTAAGATTATTGACACTCATACACAAGGAGTTCCAAGTACATTTACTTTGTGAAATTTCTAGGATTTCTATTTTATATTAAAAACAATTACTTTATGCTAAAAGATTTAGCTCAAAAAATGGTCACTGAGGCTTAATTATAAAGGAAAAAAGTTTAAAATAACTGAAATTTTATAACTACTGTGTACCAGCCCTTAATCATTTGCATGTCATCAAGACTTCTGCCATATCCTAGTGCCACTTATGTGCCATTACTTAATATGTTCTAACTAGTGTACCTTTCTTATTTAAATTTACTTTTAAAAGGAGACTTTTAATCCTTGTTAGAAATTAAAAGTCAGTCTCACTTGTGATTTTATTTTTAAAAAGAAATAAAAATGAAAAAAAATGACAAATCCATTATTAAAATTTAGAAGTTGTTGAAGGCTATAAAAGAAATGGGCAAGTGCTAAAAGTGTTGTGGGGATAAAAGAGCATCAAATATGGCCATCATAAGCAGGAAGAAAACAGGAAAAAGTAAAAATTTTCTTACAGTACTATTCAGTGCTTTTTTTTTTTTTTAACACTGAACCAGAATATACATAAAACACCTCATCATCATCTAAAATCACAAGTATGGCTGGGTGCAGTGGCTCATTTCTATAATCCCAGCTACTCAGGAGGTAGAGATTGGGAGGATCAAGGTTCTAAGCCAGCCATGGCAAAACGTTAGGGAGACCCCATGTCATCAAATAAGCTGGGCATGGTGGCACACGCCTGCAGTCCTAGCTATGAAGGGAGTCCATAGGTAGGAGAACTGCCATCTAAAGCCAGTCCCAGGCAAAAATGCTAGACCATACCCAAAAAATAACTAAAGCAAAAAGGGCCTGAAGCATGGCTCAGGTGGTACAGCACCTGCCTAGCAAGTAAGTGTAAAGCCCTGAGTCCAAACCCCAATACTGCTAAAAAATAAAATGAGAAGGACACAATACACACTTTAAGCAACACTGGATAACTACAGTGAATCCATATTAAAATATTAATGCAAACCATTAGTTCTAATAAATTCGTGACACACTAATAGGTATGAAATAGTACTGCAGTATAATTACTTTTCTATGAAAGGAAGACTATGTACACCTCTTCTTAATAAAGACAAGGAAGGCATCACACAAATGGCCTTCAACAATTATATCTAGCTTGAATTTTAATAATGTATTCACGGGCATAGAATGTACCCATAACAACTTTGGTGTATGTTTGGAGTTGAGATTACAGGTGATTTTCCTTTTGCTAATTTGAATTTCCTTTTTTATGCAGTAAATGTTCTGATTTTTACATGAAACAACTACAAATGACCAAGTCCCAAATTTAATTTGAGCCCTTTAATCACTCTGAGAAAAGCAAAAGAAGACCAGGTGCAAGTTCCTCTGTGCCTTAAATAGAGGGAATATACAATTAGAATAACTATTAATTAGACCAATTACAAAAATGGCTTTATTATGCAATATTAAAGCATTCTTGGTATTGATGTCAATGCTATTAACTATTAAAATATGTGACAAAAATATATTTTCTATAAATAACATAGTATTCTTACCCTCAATCTGCTGTAGTCAAAGAAAAATATATAGATATGCTTGTCTTATTTACTAAATAAAGATATTTAATTCATAAATCAAAAATAGCAACCAGGCACCAGTGGCTCACACCTGTAATCCTAGCTACTCAGGAGGCAGAGATCAGGAGGACAGTGGTTCGAAGCCAGCATAGGCAAATACTTTGTGAGACCCTATCTCAAAAATACCAACACAAAAAAAGGGCTCAAAGAGTGGCTCAAGGTGTAGGCCCTGAGTTCAAGCCCCAGTACCACACACAAACAAAAAAATAGCTAATGACAGCCAGGCATGGTGGCACACACATGTAATCCCAGCACTTGAGAGGCCGACGCAGGAGGACCCAGAGTTTGAGGCCATCACAGGCTACATATACTCTGTCTCAAATGAAAAAAGAAAGAAGGAAGGAAAGCAGGTAGGCAGGAAAATGAAAATGAAAAAAGAAATGAGAAACAGCAGCTAGTCACTAGCATTATAAAACATAAAAACTTTTCACATTTAATTTTATTCTAGTTGTTTATCAACTACCCATTATTTCAACTCGTGTCTGCTTAAGGAATGGGTGCAAGACCAGTTGCCTCTATCTGTCTTTATTTGAACATTATTAAGATGTTGTAAACTAAAATACTATTAAATATATGATCTATAAACAGAATCAGAAGTCCAGGCACATCATTTAAAAAGGGAAGATCCCTCAAAGAGAATGTAATGCCAAAATATATTAATAACATTCTTAATATGTTTATACTCAATTTCAGAAACTTCTTGAAATACTGTGTTGTCTGCATTAGAATACATTTAGACAGCAGAATATATTAGTGTAAAGATGAAATTTTTGCTTAAAATTACAATTCTGTTAAGTTATATAGTTTATATATGATATCTATTCAGATGTGCATGTATGTAACAAAGGAGAAAAAATAAAACCTTGAATTATAAAAAGTTTGACTTAAAAAAAAAAACCTCTGAGGTAACACTATTCATTACTATATGAACCCAAATGAAAAAAGACAGCAGACAGACATGGAATAAAAAGTAGAATGCATCTACTTTAGTATTTAGAATGAATCACCTTCTCAGGACATAAAATTATAAATACATTGTTTTAGGGGCTGGCAGAGTGGCTCAAGTGATAGAGTGCCTGCCTGGCAAGCATGAGGTCCTGAGTTCAAACCCCAGTACTACCAACAAAACAAAACAAAGACATTGTTTTAGGCCTATAATGCTAACATATGGAAGCCATATTATTTTTTTCAGAACAATTAACCAGAAGGTAAGCTCCATGGTAAGCTTACTTCTATATATTCAAAGCCTCGAATCATGCTCAATAAATATATTTTGAATTAAACAGGGGAAAATTATCTTTTACAGAAAAGTTACCACTATGTAAATAGTCTTTTCTGGGGGGAGGTTTTTTTGTTGGGTTTTTTTCCCTCTGGTACTGGGATTTGAACTCGGGACCTATACCTTGAGCCACTCCACCAGCCCTTTTTTGTGATGGGTATTTTTGAGATAGGGTCTTGCAAAGTATTTGCCTGAGCTGGCTTTGAACTGTTGTCCTCCTGATCTCTGCCTCCTGAATAGCTAGGATTACAGGTATGAGCCACTAGTGCCTGGCTAAGCCATAGTTTTAAGCACTGCTTCACAGAACCTGAGAACTAAGATGATATGACACATACTTAATTCTACTTTTTAAAGGTTCTATGACTTAAGGATTAAAAAATAGTAACTTTCTAGTTATTTATTAAACGAATGAAAACAAAAATAATCCTCACTATAATCTCTCTCTTCTACCAAGAAAAAAAATCAAAACAACTTAAATTCTCAGAAAAATAATATACACAACAGCTTTCTGGCAAGAGTCCTGTTTGAAAAAATGAGAGAAGGAACAAGATCACATCACGTATTTAATTTCTTATACTTATTTTTATTTTAAATTTTAAAAAAAGGTATGCTAGCAGATAAGCAAAAAACACTACTCAATTAGGTAACCATCTGATACTGAAATGATGCACTTTACTGAGAAAACATTTATTCTAAAACATGCCAAAAATTCAGACTACAGCCATCTGTGTTTGTCATTTGGAAGCCAATTATAAAAATGTTAACATATGTAATCACAGAAATAGTTGCAAGATTTACTGGAAAGATATTGTATCCATATACACTTGTCTTTCAAAACTGGTTCAAATCAAGCAAATGTCTTACTCTATGGGGAACATGAATAAATGACTAAATATAAATAACAAATCTATTCCTAAACTTAAGATTTGTAACTTTATAAATGATCATTCTCAATAAAATAATGAATTTTCAAAATGCCATAAAAACATGCCAAATTTTTATGTCACTTCAAACAAAAACTAGTGCTAATGTGCTTAGGTTAATGTGCATGTTCACTGAGTGTTTACTATGTGCCAGGCTCTCTGCTAGACACGAGTCAAAATATATGGTCCTAAAAGTAGTACCTTTTTGTATATGCCAACCTGTCACTTCACTGAACTGTGAGAAATAAATAGCAAAGGTCTGAGTAAGATTTGTTAAACTCGATAGTCCTGGATGTATGTAAGAGGTGTTATAGGAACCTCCCTTGTCCTGATTTTCTCAAAGAAGAGATGCAATTGTACAGTTTTGCATCTGTGAAGGCTATAACTTGGCATGTTAGGGAATAAATATGTAGTTTATTTATTCAACATTTATTGTCTGCTTATCATGTGTCCAGGTATGCTAAGGCTACGGTAGGATACACAGTGATGAATGAAACAGATTTTTAAAAACAAACAAAAAAACCCCCTCTGTTCTCATGAATTGTAATTCAGAAGGAAAAACAAAATTAAACAAATAAAATACAGATATATGTAATTTCAAGTGACAAAAAGTGCTGTGAAGAAAAAGTACAGTATTATGAGAGCCTGCAACTGAAAGACTTAATTTGGATGGGGATATAAACAGGGTCAGAAAACACCTTATTGAGTCAAGAATGTGGGAGCTGAGATATAAAGATGAAAATGAATTACCTGCTCAAAATCATAATCAGTAAGTGGCAAGACAAAAGGAAAATATGACTCAAATCCAACTTCCCATTGTATCAATTTGCTTTCTGTGTATTCTTAGCTCTCTTTTCCTT